CATGCTTCACATTGATAAATTAGACAATGTGCAATGAGTCAATGTGCATAATGAGTCAATGTACAATGAGTCAATATGCATAAATGATTCAATATGCATAAATGAGTCAATGTGCATAAATGAATCAATATTCAATGAGTCAATGAGCAAAAATGAGTCAATGTGCAATGAGTCAATATGCAATGAGTCAATGTGCATAAATGAGTCCTTGTACATACTGTAAATGAGTCAACGTGCATAAATGAGTCAATACTTGCATGTCCTATAAATACAGATGTGTTAGCATCACAGGTAGATAGCGGTGTTGTTGATAATCTTCTTTCACGAAATACGGCTCAGCAGGAGAAAAACCTATTAATCTCTGCTGCCTTATTAATACAGTTCTTGCATGGAGCTGGATGTTGACACGTGGCGGTGCAGGGTGAATAGTCAGGAGCGCGGGCGACACTGCAGGCCGCGGGGTGACTCTGCCGCCCAGCGGGGTGATTTAACAGGAGCGCGGGCGGCGCTGCAGGCCGTAGGGTGACTCTGCCGCCCAGCGGGGTGATTTAACAGGAGCGCGGGCGGCGCTGCAGGCCGCGGGGTGACTCTGCAGACCAGCGGGGTAATTTAACAGGAGCGTGGGCGACACTGCAGGCCGCTTCATCATCTTATAGGCCGCGGGTTGACTCGGCAGGCGATATTTCCACGGCCGAGCGTTCAGACGACAAGTGCGTCCATAATTTCCAAGAGAAAAATGAACGCTTTTCATTTCCCTGGTGATAGTAAAGCGCCGCTTATTTCAATCCTGAACGTGTGTCGCCTCACTTGTTATTTAAGTTACAAGTTCGAGAGATCTTGAAAAGTAGTCTTTTTTATTTGTATGGAGAAAAAACATCCCTGTTCATTTTCCTAATAACCAAAGGCACCTGCTATTTTTTGTGCGAAATAATATTCAATTTTATCTGAAAAAATTGAGACCTGGAATCGGGCTTTGAATTTTTGCAATGTTCGTCACTTTACACTAGAAAATTATTAAAAATTTTTGTCATGATTTTATGATTAGAACTTCATACCAAACTGAATATTTTGATGTTTCCAAAAAATAAATTAGAAAGAGAGAATCTACATTGCTTCTTCGTCATTCGTGCGCAAGAAGCCGTACAATCTTATTAGTTTGGGTGCATGGTTCTGTTTTTTATGTATCTCATGTTGAGCCAGTCATGTATAGTTTTTAACTATAAATCGCGCTAAAATTTCTAGACATAAACCCTTGTCTTGCACTTGGCGGTTTTCAACGCCTCCGACGCCCTGTCAATGTCAACTGAATCAGTTTCGCAGCCTTTACCATCAACTAATTATAAGTCAACTACAGCAGATACTGCACTTACCACCTTTCTCGTCACTGGAAAAAATATAATATTACTAACCAGTGATAGCTACTAGTTGACACACTAGTAATTTCAATGCTAAATGCTGGCGAAATACATGAATCGCACATCGTCAATTAGGTCATAGTTCACGCTGAAAACTAAATCATATTTCAAATCCAGGTAAGAGGCTGTACAATTTCGGTTGTTGTCGATAGCAAATCAATTCCATCTACAACATTATGAACTTGATATAAATAGTATCAGTATAGATATAGTATAGTATAGAAATAAAATTCAGGTATCACAACCTACTAGCTCACACAACAACATTAATCCTGTGGCATATATGACACTATTGCATTTACGCGGGCCAGACCCCGATAGAGGAGGCAGACCGTTACGCTTTGCGCCAGCCACACCGTGCTGGGCTAGCGAGCGCGGCTTTCTGGCTACGGGCAGTGAAAATGAAATGAAATCATTAATGAAATGAAATTTAATGAACTCCTAATGAAAACCATCCGAGGTTGATACAGGTGGGAAATATTATTGTCAGTCTTGCACTGAATTCTTCTCGGACACCAAAAATTTATGCATCGAAAGACATTAAAGCATCAAATTCGCCATAATTTAATTGAAACTGTTTAGCAGACCGGTTCCATCATCAGTTCATTCTTGAATTAGTGAACTGATGATGAAGCGGTCTCCGATTTGATGACATTCTGATTTATTTACTCGTTTCTTTTCTTTTTTTTTTTTGCTTTTTTAACGCATTTTCTCATTAATGGAAAAAAGGCGCTATTGTGCTCGCCATGTCCGTCCGTCCGTCTGTCTATCCGTCTGCCTGTCTGTCCGTCCGTGACTTCACGTTTTCGTCGACGAGAAAATGCGTTCTCTTTGTCACTCACTGCAGTGAGTCCTGAGTAATATTTTTTAAATTCCTGGTTAATATAGCATCTAAGCATAGGTAAATTCATTATTATTTGGCTTAGAAATGCCGTGATTTCAGCCATATCGTTGCTGGTGATCAGATTCGTCACATTCACCTAACACATTCACCTGATCAGATCGACTAATCATCAAATTCTTTAATATTTCCAGAAAGAGAGACCAATGCCTATACCGAGTACAAATTTTCATTTAATTCTATGGTAACTAAGTTAACAGTAATTATCCTGCTTTAATGATATTAGAAATTTGGTAGAAAGTAATATTAGTTTGAATTTGTCAGTTACGAAATCGCACACGGTAATTTGTAAACTGGAATTGCAAAATCAGCAATAAAGTTGCATTACAAAATCTATAAAGAATATTATATAATTTAGAAGGAAAAGTACTGTCACATACGCATTGAATTTTTCCATTATATTCATGTATATAAAAAATCTCCGACGATTTAAATACGATCTAAATAGTCATCGTAACAGTTCACCCAAGAAGATAACAGAAAGTAAAGAAAAAAATTAGTCTTTTGTGGGGTATTTTGGAGCTCATCGCACCTGATTTTTGTTTGATCGCAATGATGCGATATGAAACCCGTGGTATCGATGTAAAAAATGAAAGCTCAGAAAGTAAGGCATGGCCACAGGGTTTCGTAGGCTACGTTATTTTCGTAGCCCGTTAACTAAACAAATTTTATGACACTGATTCATCATCGATACGAAATTCAGTAACTTGAATTGAGTATTGTGATTGTACTGAGAGAAATTTCAAAATTACATAAGTATACAGAACATGTCGTCAAAATTATTCAAAATCCGAGAAAATTTTTACATTGGCAAATTTTGGTACTAAAACAAAGGGTTCATAAAGCTCGATATTTTTTTATTTCGACTAGTATCAAATGAGAATATAATTCTAGAATGAATATTTGTATTTATTCCTCATACCTGTCGACCAACATGGAATACAATAATTCACCTGGCATATAAATTGTAAAGGCAATGATGAATTAATTCACATTTTATACATCCCTGCGCTAAAGTGCATTTATCACATTTGGAATGTCTCGTTTTACCCGAGAATTCCTCAGCTTTGCATGTTAGACGTTTTAATGTATTATTGTTTCACTCCTTAGCAGTATACAAAAAATTAGTTAACCTTCTACCGCCGTATGTAACTCCGGGAACAAAACTTTAAACTAAAATTATACGTAAACAATTGAGTGTAGCAACCTGACGACGTTTGTACGCAACAGAGAACATTTTACGGTTGTACGTGGCGGCAACCATCAGTGCAAGTCATTTTGCGCTCACTAGAACGTATCCTTTTTGGGAAGTAGGCCTGTGACAATATTGCTCCGGTTACTCATGACAAGCGGTAGAAGGTTAAAACGTGCTTTTTTCAATACCAGATGCTGCCGAGGCTCACGTTTCTGTTGTCATGTTGGTCAGAACTAAGATTTGTACGATTATTTTGGTTCCGTTTCGTTTTGTTTGTCTTTATTGAAGGCCGGCGACTAAAGTGCTGTGGCGACATTACTGTCATTAATATTGACATTTGCCACAGCGGCAGAACGCTGCACACCATGACATGCAGGACATAAATTTATGAAATTCACAACCCAAGTAACGCGTAAATATTGAGATTACAACACCACTGATTCAGTCGTCACTGACTGCATAAAAGTCGCCTCAAGGCTGTACAGCACTCGATCAGAGTGTGATCGACAATCCTGACAAATTTTCCTGACAATCCTGATTGACAATCCTGATTGACAATCTTGATTTACAATCCTGATATATCTTTGTCAAAATAACGATACACTTTGGTCCATGTGTAGATCATCCTGACTCAGTTTGGCTCGGAAAAAGGGCATATCTGCGATAGTTAAGCTCTTTGTTCGTTCTGCGGGTAAGGGAGTGGGTCACTATTTGGACAATGTGACTTATTAATTTTTCTGAGTGAACGCTGCAGCCCACATAAATTATTCTGGCCCGGGGTTTAACGCCCCTAGCGCCTGCACTGCAATATTCTGGCCCGGGGTTTCCGGGATCCAAGATACACGCCTGAACCCCAGCGGCCTGAGCCATGAACCTGCTGGATATAACTTAGATTTTCGGACATGGTTCTGATTTATGCGTGCGTGTATGAGCATATAATGTGAAAATAATTGTGAAAAGAAGGATCTCGATAAGAATATATACCTGTATAAGATAAGATAAGTTCGTTTCATTCTATTTGTCATAAAATCAATCAAATATTCACAATTAATCCAGGGATATGTGTAATTGGACTGAATGAGATTGAAGATCTAAGGGAGGCACTGAGGATGAGTAACAGTTCACTGCATTCTATTTGTCGTGCAATGAATCACAAATACCCAATTAATTTGTTTATTTTTCAAGGCGTCTGTGTGATACATATGAATAATAATGTATATTTGTAAAACTCACTTCGCAGGAGCATGAGTAACAGTAATACAATAAATAATAAATACATAACAATAAATCATAGTCAAACTACAAATCCCAAATTAAAAATGAATTTGTTTGTTTTTCCAGGAACGTTTAGTAACAAGCAGGAGAATTGTCAAACAATAAATCACAAATTCACAATGAATTTGTTTATTTCACAGGAGCGTTTAGCGGCAAGCAGGAGAATTGTCATACAATAAATCACAAATTCACAATGAATTTGTTTATTTTCCAGGGGCGTTTAGCGGGAAGCACGAGAAGCGCCTGCTGGACGATTTGCTCAGGAACTACAACAACCTCGAGCGGCCGACCAGAAATGAAACAGAAACAGTCGTCGTGAAACTCGGCCTCACGCTTCAGCAGATCATAGATGTGGTGAGCGTGGGCTGAGGAAGTCTTTTCTTATTCTTTCAAGTAACACTTATAATCGTTATCAGGATTATTTTGACAGGAAGATAAAAAAGGCTTAAATCGTTTTAATCAAGAATTCTACAAAATTATTTCCTAAAGCGGTCCCTATATCTTTTCTTAGATAAACTTAGGAAGCCAAAAAAATACCATAAACACTACACGGAAATGTTAAATCGTTTAATTTTCTCTGGAATTTGATACAACTTTTACTCAAAATGACATTAGTTTCGGTATATGACAACGGTTGCCAGAACTCCTGCTCCATCAGTCGAATTTTGCACCCAAGTTCTTCAGTAAGCTACTTCTTGGCCTCATGAACATGGCACAAGTTTGTGGTCCTGGGCCTATACTTTCAAAAAAAGTTAAGAGATCGTAAGTTCATCAGCCAATCATTGACGGCCTTTCGAGCAAAATCCACCAATCATAGACAAGAAAATAGAGCGTAAGTACTTACGTTCACTTAGCCAGTTTTGAAAGTATGGCCCCTGATGTACGAATATTAGAACAACTTCAAACCCTTCTCTAAAGTTTAGTTTCATGCTCGTTGCTTGTCTCGCTACTTGTGTTAATGAACTCTTCATAATGATTTGGAATTAATTTCACAGGAGCCGTGCCGATTGATATCATTTGCTTACCTAACGTGCGTCAAAGTTGCCAAAGAAGTTAAAAAGAATTTTGGATTGCGAGTCTTGATTTACAAACGCTATAATGATTTATATAAATTATGCATATTTACATATTCTGCGACCCAGGTCGAAGACATCTTGCACATTTTTGATTCAGAAATTTGGTTTTGTCAGTTAACTGCATTATTCAACTTGCCCTTGTAGGGATGTCACGATGTAAACAAATATAAACATATACAGTTTTTTCACTAATCTTTGTCTCCATTTTGCTTTACCGTAACTGATAATGAATATTTATGTATTTTACCTGTCTGCGATGTTTAGCGTCAAGAAATGAGATCAATAATTAATTGGGAATCAGAATTTCCTTTCTAGAAATGGAGCATATATTTCATCTTTGAACTCAACAGGATTGTTTTATAAAGGGAATTTAGTTTCATGTCTGCATCAGTATAATATCAATTGACATATGATAGTGTAAATAACAAAATTATCACCTACGTAATTTATGTTTAAAATTGAAAACTATGTCGCAAATAGTGTGTACACGTGTGATACATTACTGATATATTTTTTTGTCCAATAATTCTGATTCGTTTCAAAATAATAAATAATAAGCGCACTTGTGATCTATTTATTAAAACATTTAGGTGTTAGAGAACTCTCAGTAATCCTGAAATCTAATGCACACTTCTGACTTAATTACTGACATATTCATGCGCCCGATAATTATTATTGATAATAAAATAGTATATACATGTATGCTTTACTTTCAAATACATTTATGTCTCCAAAAATTCTGATTCATTTTGCAGGATGAGAAGAACCAGATTCTCACAACGAACGTCTGGCTCAATCTGGTGAGAATTATCCTACGAATATTTTGGCTATTTGGTTGATTCATTGAAAAATTTGGCTATTTTTTATTCATTCATTTCAGTAATTTTTGGCTATTTGATTGATTCATTGTAAAATTTGGCTATTATTGATTCATTCATTTCAGTAATTTTTGGCTATTTGATTGATTCATTGTAAAATTTCGCATCATTTATTTCCCACGAATTAAACTCAACTTCATCCTCGACATTAACATGCCCAATCTTTTATTTCCATTCGAATTTCAGACTAATTTATAACTAGGGTAAATTGGTACTAAAATTAGTTAACATGGTTTGCCATATTTCGTGATTTAATTCTTGTGTCTTAAATATGAGTTTTGACGTTGTGGATGCTAATCAAAATAATTTAATTAGATGTTATTAAAATAATCATTCATTCGTGGCTAGCTACTTTCCAAATATTCAAAAGCTTTTTTTCGTAATATCCTCATATATTTAAAAGTTCTTTTGTATTCGTACGAACTTCAAATATTTTATAAGTCCGATGACATCTCTTCACATTTTTTCCTGCTAGTCTTCCCTCTCGTAATGCTATTACCCACTGAATTTTCAGCAGGAGCCTCTCCCTTAACTTCGTCTCAACTCCTCAAACTTGGGCTAATTACGTGCTAGCAATTCATACGTATCTACTTAACGTTTCTTCTCAAGGGCTGCTTCTTTGCCACCTGTTTACGCGAGTAAAACATTTCCCCTCCCTCTGGTGTCGTCTGCTCGAGACGGTTTTATTGCCGAAAACTTCATCCGTTCCGTTTCCTCGATTTGCCGAATATCAATGCAAGAAAGGTAGTTTTTATGCCACCCGCTCCTAGAACTGGTGACGTTGTGTAAGTTACATTATAGTATAGCAGAATACAACTCTATGGTATGTTAAATAGTGAAAGCAAACTATAAAGAATTTTGTTGCTTTTTTTCTATTTATAATTATACACGTAAATGAGATATAACAATTGTTGAATCCCTAGGATATCGTTGTTGGTATGCATTCTTTGTGGTCAGGAATTTCGACTGATTCGAAAAAATAGTGAGTACTGAATTATTTTTAAACAAGCATATTCGCAGTAACATATCCTAAAATTTACATATTATGAGCTTATTCAACATTGGTTTTATTTTAAATTTGGCAAACACATCTTCAGGGTTATATATGCTGTTGCATTGCATGCTGAAGTTCTGAATCCTCTTGCACGGTATCCTAATGATCTATAACCGTAGGCCCAGTATCTTGACCGTCCGTATCCTGATACGCATTATTTTGATCCTAACATTCTTTGAATCATTATCCACATCCGAAATATCCTTGACTCCAAGTCTCACGATCCTCAGTATTCTAGGACGCAGTATCGTGAACATCAGTGTTCCGCAGGAGTGGACGGACCACAACCTCCAGTGGAACGAATCCGATTACGGCGGAGTGTCCGACCTGCGGATTCACCCGAAATACGTGTGGACGCCGGACATTTTAATGTACAACAGGTGGGGGCTGCGTCCAGTTTTTAGGGGGCACTACTTCTTGTGCCGCGGCAGTGACCAACATGGGCGTGAAAGTGCTGCTTCTCAAGCATACATTGCGAATAATAATATAGAATAGAATAGAATAGATGTGTCGGCGTTGAAGAAATAGGCCCATGGCCTGTTGCTGATTATTGAACTTTTCGTGACTTGATTCACAAGGGATCCGGCCTTTGGAACCCGATCTTTCCATAGCTGACGATTTTTTTCCATAGCTGACGATTTATAGAATTCCATAGCTGCCGATAATATAGAATTTATTGAGAATATTATATTCTGGTGCTCTTGAATTTGTTAAATCCAGTGACCATAATACCGATATTGTTTCATGTAGTTATTGGGTTGGTTGATGTTAGTCATGTGATGCCGACATTGAAGACTTGCAAGCTCTGGAAATTGCCTCAGGTTGTTTCTGAATCTTTGATCCTTACTAAATGATCAATTTAAAGCTTCAAAGAGGCCAAGGCTGTAAGGACAATTCATGTTGAGTCTTATTAATTTAATTTTCACCACTTATTTGCATGAAGAGCTCAGTAACTCTGGCGGTATGTATTAACAAATACGATTGGAATAATTCAGTTTAGAGACTTACGATCTTTGTTTAGGATGAAAAAGTATGTAAGTAGTAATTCAGACATTCTATTTGGAAACTTTCTATCATAGCTAGAAGTTTGAAAACGATGCCTATTTTTTCGTCTCTCATGATTGCACAATACTTCATTAATTGCACTGTAAACTTTCCTTGTCTTCAGTCGACGGCATCTTAAGAAAGTTCGACCGAAAATGCTGTCGTGGATCTGAATAGCAGCAGTCGAAACCTTATTATTATTTGATAAATTCGACGGGAAATCTTTGGTAATTATTTTCCAGCACAATTTCTGAAAAAAATTAATTTTGGACCAAATTACTCCAAATTAATTAATAAATACTCAAAATTTCTTTCAATACTTTACGCAAGTTTTATAAAAAGAATACGGCAATGAATAAAATTTTCAATTCTTTGTATTTGTGTGATTTTTCTTAGGACAAACTCGTATTTTTCCGATGATATTCTCATCAGAGTCAATCGTTCGTAAGATATTCAATGAGGCTCACGTCTCACAGTCGGGAGCGGAAGTCTTGTCGAATGATAGTCTGGAGATCGACTCTGACTCGGTGTATAGAAACTCTATTGAGCTCTTAGAATGAAATTTAGTTGCCGACGCAATTGAGCTCTTAGAATTAAACTTAAGTTAGTTATTCAACTGAAAGGCATGAATATTCTTTGGGGAGTTATTGTTCTCAGAACGATTAATTGGAAAAATTTGCAAATTTCATTTCTAGTGAGCTTATGTATTGCAAATATCGGTTCAGAAAACACAATTTAGGTGAAAAGTACATTGGTATATGATGAATATGAGGACCTGAAATACAAGCACCGAAGAAGAATAGAGCAACCATCAATTGGTGGCCATGTGATTGTACGGTATTTGACGTAACTCTTTATTTGTACTTCTGACATTTCTTTCTAATTAGAGCCGCCTTCCGAATCAACAAAATTAATATTGAAATTTGTGAATATTTTCGTTTGACCGCAAATTTTAGAATAATACAACAGTGTGTTTACATGAGAAAATCCTTCCTATGATTGTTTGTTCGATTGAAAGTTTATGATGAGTGACACTGCAAAATTCAGAATATCATTGCAAAAAGTTCTTATGCGAGAACTTTTAAATTCAGCAGGATATGTGGGACTCTTTTTAACCATTTAACTACTTCTATTCATCCCATTTGATGGGATGAGAAACTCAAATTGTTAAAACTATATTAAAATAATGAAATTTATTCGCTACTTAAAATAAAAATGTGCGCTTCTTTTTGTTTCTGATGGTGTAGCGCGGACGAGTTGTTCCTGAGCACGTATCCTACAAACGTGGTGGTGGAGGACAGCGGCAAGTGCACACACATCCCACCAGGGATCTTCATGTCCACGTGCAAGATAGACATCACTTGGTACCCCTTCGACGACCAGTACTGTGACATGAAGTTCGGCTCCTGGACCTATGATGAGTCCAAGGTAAGACATCACTTGGTACCCCTTCGACGACCAGTACTGTGACATGAAGTTCGGCTCCTGGACCTATGATGAGTCCAAGGTAAGTCATCACTTGGTACCCCTTCGACGACCAGTACTGTGACATGAAGTTCGGCTCCTGGACCTATGATGAGTCCAAGGTAAGTCATCACTTGGTATCCCTTCGACGACCAGTACTGTGACATAAAGTTCGGCTCCTGGACCTATGATGAGTCCAAGGTAAGTCATCACTTGGTATCTCTTCGACGACCAGTACTGTGACATGAAGTTCGGCTCCTGGACCTATGATGAGTACAAGGTAAATGCTGCATTACGAAGCAGTTTATGTGTACGGGGAATTACACATCATTACATAGATAAATTTTTAAATTTTATGATACACCTCGAATGTCATTTTCCATAGCTGATGTCTGTTCGATTACCTATAACCCTGTTCAAGCCAAATAATTTGGTGATTTATGTAAATACTTCAAGCACTTGAGAACCTGTTATACATGATGAGCATTAAGTGATGTTTCAGTCCTTCATTCTTGTACAGAAATTGTTTCAGAAAAGAAGCCAGAAAAATTGTGAGAGAAAGCGCTGAAATATGTAAATACATTGCTATTCCAATACTTATTTTCTCGTTTGATTTTCAATTCAATCTTGACGTACTTCGCGTTGGATTTCATTCTTCATTTTTTTCCCTGTGGTTTGTGATTCCACATCAGAGGCTCTTACAAAAAGAACTTTGTTAGAATCCAAAAGTCAACCACTCAATAAGAACCCGAAACTAAGGCGACACTCCAAGTTTTGCTCAAAAGTTGTATAAGTGATGAACACACGACTGGTTTTTCTACCTAGGACTAGTTTTACAAATATTATTGGGCTATTATTATTACAATTATTATTGGGCTATAACAAATAAGGCTCTAAGGAGCCTTATTTGTTATATATAACAAATAATAAGGCTATAGAATATAATATATAAAAATAATAAGGCTTAGTTATATAACAAATAAGGCTCTAAGGAGCCTTATTTGTTTCTTCGCTATTTCTTCCAGTATTCAATTGATTAGTCGAACGATCATTGACCTGGTGTTAGGGGCTATTGACGGCGTTATTGTATCTATTAATTGATTTTTTCTGACAAATTAAACATGAAGCAATTAATAATCTCAAATTGCAAGTAGAACAAGTGCAGTCTCGCTTCAGTTATTACGCTGTTGGCACTATAACTTAAAATTCGTACAAAATTCTGTACGTATCACAAAAGTTAATTGAGACTCATCCTGTCTCTGACATTTCGAGTTTGATTTTTTTTTGTCAGTACAATCACATATTTTTTTTACTGAACCCGTCATCAAACTTCATTGAATTTTTAGACCTCCATATTTATTCAGGATTTTGTTTTGTTCCACTCCGGAGAACTTTAACTTTATCTGTACTCTTCATCATATCACTCTTCACTTTCTCTCAAATTTTGATAAATAAATAAAATAAAATAAAATAATTTCTCAATTGATTTTTTCTTTTCAATAAAAGACAATTGTGTTTCTCCAGCTAATTTTTTCCATTATTATTTTATCCGTGAATTTTATCCTGTTATCTGGGAGTAAACATTTTATATTTGCGTTACACACGCAGCCCCTGCATAACTTCGTTATGCTGGCGTCGACAAGAAGCTCGAGATAATAGAATGATTAATGTTTTATTGTGTTAGTGTTTTATTATTTCAAAGTTTTGTTGTGTTAATTTCTTATTGTGAATATTTATTTAATTCATGTTTTATTGACAAACAGATCGACTTGCAGCTGCAGAGCGAGGATGGCGGCGACACAAGCGGCTATATCCCAAATGGCGAGTGGGACTTGAAAGGCAAGATTATCTTTCTTGAATTCATTAATTTGATTTTAGCTTTTTTATTCGAATCATTTAGCAACATGTTCAGTTTTAATAACAATGATCTCTCCCGGTTTTCTTAAAATGACCATTGCCTTTCTTTGTAAATAATTTAGGAAAATTTTGAATATTTTTGAGAAAAATCTCTCCCAGCTTGATTAATAGGATCATTATATTTTCATTCGAAACAATTGAAAATCTTTTCAATCCTTATGACAAGATTATCTACCTGCTTATTTGATAAGATCATTTTTTTTAATTTTTTATTTTTTACTGCTACTTTTCTTCGTTATTCAAATAGTTGAGATAAAGCGCCGGTTTCAATTCCCTGCGCATTGGATGATCTTTTGAATAATATCATTATTTTAATGACGGGTAAATTTTTTTAAATTAAATGGCTACGTATTTTTCAAGATCTGTTATTGACAGTGATAAGTGTTTCAATGAAGTTTTCATGTTATTTGCAGTATATAACTTATAAAAATTGATTATCATATTTGTCGCCTCTTCTAGAAGCGAGCTAAATAATTTTATATATATAATAATTTTTAAATAAAATAATAAATTATTTTTTTAATTTCAAATAACTAAAAATTGTCCTCACACAACTACTGTGCAATATTTTTGCTTCACTCTGAATTTGCCTTTGACCTCACCCGATGTGAAGGTCAAACAAAATCCTTTATATCAGATTCTTAATTTACTCTACCAATTAAAGAAACCTCAAATAAAATGTATCGTGCTAGTCTTAGAAGAAAAACATATCAGGATATTTATTTTAAATCATATTTATATGAATGTTATGAAACGAGTCATTATCAATTACCATAGTACGCACAACAAAGCTATCACATGCAACCATGTTTATTGACAATTTAATTGTAAATATCAAAATATTCGTCAAGCTGGGGACAAGCTCCTCATAATATCAGGGCATCAAGGGGAAATTTCTGGGGGAATTTCTAACACAGTCTGCCCTAAAAGTTCCTCGGTCAACATTTGATGAGCCGGAAAAGCGCCTAATTGCCGACGAAATTCGTCCAAAATCGGCGTAACTTCTGCCAAAAATCTATAATTCGCCTCATTAGAGTAAAGTTGTGGTCCCTGTTTGGTGCGACCTTAGGAGACCGCTACTTTCATGCAAATCAAGATGCACGAATCTAGTCCTTTTTTCTTCCTAATTTTTTGTTGACCGAACGTCCCTAATTCATCATAAAATATTATTCGGTGTTATTTTTATTAGTGGCGTCTTCCACAGAGCTTTATTTTTCAAATTTCTGAAAGAACAAGTGTTTATTAAGCCGCTATACCTTTCCCATTTGAGATCCTTTAATTAAAAATCTTAATTCGAAGTAGACTTGTCAGTCTGTGTTCCATCTGCAGAGGCGTGGCAGTTTAATGGGATGCGCCATCTCGATAGCTTGCAATGACGATGTCATATTTGCTGTGTTGCTATGTATTGTGTAATATATCTAATTTATCAGAACGTTAATATTTATGATTTCTTATTTATTGGCAACTTTATACAACAAAATAAATGAACAGTTTTTGATGTATGTATATCTCTCGCCTTATTGGCATATTTCGGCAGAAATTAGTTTACATTATAATTTGGCAAATTTTTCGTCATATCGACTTTGATTCGCTCTTCATGTTTTCATTTTTAGGAAACATTGAATATTTTATGCGTCATTAGATGAGGGATTTTGGTACTTTTCCTATTTTTCCAGATTAACTGACTGATATTTTATGTGATAATTATTTTTCAAATCTCGAGTTCCGATTTTCGGGTGGGTCGAACGACAAACTTCAACCATGATTCCTGACTAAATTTTCCCTAACTCAATCTCGGAATTTTTCTAGATGTTTTATTCTTGATCAAATGTTTTAGCAACAATACAAATTCTAGTGTAGAGTTAATTTCAGGCGTCCCCGGTGAGAGAACATCAAACCAGTACACTTGCTGCCCTGAAGTCTACGTCGACGTTACCTTCAAGATTCATTTGAGACGTCGAACTCTTTACTACTTCAGCAATCTCATCATGCCATGCGTTTTGATTTCTTCAATGGCCCTCCTTGGCTTCACTCTACCTCCCGATTCTGGAGAAAAGCTCACGCTCGGTAAGTAACCAATAACTTTCTTCAGCAAACTGCTGAAAAACTTTCTCTGCGAGGTAAAACTGTGCGCCGGTCTAGAAGTTTTCTTCACGAACTAGGCCGTCTGGAAGTCCAGGTAACGGAAATATTACAGCCAGAAAACCGTGATTCGCCGCTCAGAAGTTCCGTTTGCGAACGAAACACAAAAGGAGCAGATTTTTCTAATGCCGTCTTTAGGGGGAGTAATTATAATCATAATTCATAGTTACGGAAAATTCAAGCGTTCCGACGAATGAAGAATTTGAACATCGTATGAAATGTTCTAATAAGAGTATTTAATGTATCGTCGGGTTTGCTATTTTTCGGTGCTGTGCGTGAATCAGGTCCTGGGAATGATTGAAACGGTTTATTCCTTATCAAAAAGTTCCAGTATTCCTGGACCTGGTCCAGTAACGGTTTATTCCTTATCCAGTAAATAATTTTAGCTCAAGCAAATTTATGCGCACACAAGCGAGAATAAGAAAGATTTATTTCGCGTAATAAGTGGAGAAGCAAAATCGTCCGTAGCCGCCGACTGAGTGCTGTAGTTTCTAAAAATTACACATTAAAGTTGTTGCTATGGAGATCAACCTCCCAAGAATCTGAGCATGTATTGTTATAGAATCTCATGAAATGCATACAAATAGATATTAATTAGTAAATCGAAGAAGTGCTATGGGAATATGAGAAATGTAGAGTGGATTGGTCATCAGATTAAGCATTGCATTTAATCACAAGGAAGAAATCTCGAGTATCTGCCTCTATCTCAGTGTCTATGAATATCTCTTCAATTAATTAATTTTTTCTCCCGTTAATCAAATTGTAAATTAATAACCGTACATTTTCACCAAATTGCTCACATCTGGTCAACCACGATTGACTTTGATTTTTTCTATCATTTTTCAATCAGACACTTATCCTTTACTTCTTAAATCAAAGAATTGTGAAGAGCAACTCTCTTTCACCGAGAGAATGTAGGATGTATGTCCGTAAAGAAGTGACTGTACAATTTAAATCAAGTGTAATGATGCCCAGTGAGGCTATGCAGTGGCTGTGGTAATTTGGGATCGGGAAAATAAATCATCTAACCATTAAATTTCAATCATTTAACCATGGAAAAAATCAAATCATAGCCATCATCTAACCATTGCGATCTTAGAACCCATACGATCGTCAAACCATTCCGTTCATTTTACTATATGATCATGTAATCACTGCAATAATCTCACCATTGCAATCATCTAACCATTGCAATCATCTAACCATTGCAATCGTCTAACCATTGCAATCATCTAACCATTGCAATCATCTAACCATTGCAATCATCTAACCATTGCAATCATCCAACCATATAAACCATTCCGTTCATTTTACTATATGATCATGTAATCACTGCAATAATTTCACCATTGCAATCATTTAACCATTGCAATCATGTAACCATTACAATCATCTAACCATTGCAATCATCTGACCTTTGCAATCATCTAACCATTGCAATCATCTAACCATTGCAATCATCTAACCATTACAATCATCTAACCATTGCAATCATCTGACCATTGCAATCATCTAACCATTGCAATCATCTAACCTTTGCAATCATCTAACCTTTGCAATCATTCAACCATTGCAATCATCTAACCATTGCAATCATCTAACCATTGCAATCATCTAACCACTGCAATCATCTAACCATTGCAATCATCTAACCATTGCAATCATTTAACCTTTGCAATCATCTAACCATAGCAAGCATCTAACCATTGCAATCATCTAATCATTGCAATCATCTAACCATTGCAATCATCTAACCTTGTAATCATCTAACCATTGCAATCATCTAACCTTGTAATCATCTAACCATAGCAAGCATCTAAACATTGCAATCATCTAACCATTGCAATCATCTAACTATTGCAATCATCTAACCATTGCAATCATCTAACCGTAGCAATCATCTAACCATTGCAATCATCTAACCTTGTAATCATCTAACCATTGCAAACGTCTAACCATAACAATCATCTAACCATTGCAATCATCTAACCATTGCAATCATCTAACCATTGCAATCATCTAACCACATCTAACCATTGCAAACATCTAACCATTGCAAACATCTAACCATTGCAAACATCTAACCATTGTAATCATCTAACCATTGCAACTGTCTAACCATTGCAATCATCTAACCATTGCAATCATCTAACCTTTGAAATCATCTAACCATTGCAATCATCTAACCATTGCAATCATCTAACCATTGCAGTCATCTAACCATTGCAATCATCTAACCATTGCAATCATTTAACCACTGCAATCATCTAACCATTGCAATCATCTAACCTTTGCAATCATCTAACCATTGCAATCATCTAACAATTAGACACATACACGAATCATGTATGTGTGCATGATGAGAGGCAATTGTTTGCGAGTTGAGCGATCACCTTTCCAACGAACCTCTTTTAATTCCACTTTCAACTCGGCGACGAGGATTAGATTCACTAGATTTGTGATAATTACCTAATATTATTGTTGGCATTTATTAATAATTATCTTGCTAGTTATTACTATCCTGTATTGAAATTGATATTAATTCAAATCTTATTTACATTAATTCCAATTTTATCGACATTAATTCTCATCTTATTTTAAGAGACAAGTCCAACAGATGTAATTGAGCCCAATTTACAAAGTGCAACAGATTTGTTCTGTTTTTTGAAATACGTTGTGACTTTCTATTGTTGCAGGGGTCACTATTCTCCTGTCGCTTACTGTTTTCCTAAACATTGTCACCGAGAATATCCCTGAGACGTCAGAAGCAGTGCCTCTTATATGTATGTAGAACTTGCATCAATAGCTTGTATATGTTGTTCGGTGGAGGCTTAACTATCCTCCAAACAAGGCTAATGTTTCAGCTCACGGGTCTGGAATGGAGCTAGCAACGTTCATGCTGAAACGAGTTTCAAATTTAGACAAGCGTCAATTAAAACTAATTTTTTTAATTAAATATTTTATTATCAATCATATAAATCACGATATCTCAATAATATTAATCTATTCTCGATCACGAAACTGAGTTTTTTTTATTTATTTCTTTGTATCAGGTTGCTATTTTTAAAATAGCAATTGTAATTAGACTTCGAGGTGTATTTTTATCTTCCACGATAATTGCTTCTAAAATGGTAGCCCGATTATAAAATGGTTAATAATCTAATAAAATTAGATAATTTCTTTCAATTCCAGTTCCCGACGAGAGTTGAAATTTATTTGTTATGGAACGATTCGCTTGAAATCGAGATAGGAAAGATTATCTTATCTCACCAGTTTTACTTAGGAAATGTGATCTGACGAATTGAAATATCGTTTAGTCGATATCTTCTGAGGCGTTTCAAAGCTCATTTGAAAATATTGAACAGATTCAAAATTTACTGCCGAGGCAGCAACAGCTTTTCAAAGAGATAACCGCAACGTACGATTCCTGCAGGTTAAAAAAATTTAGTTTTTGTTTTTTCTCGCTGAACTTTTTTCAAGAGATGAACAAAAATTTCATGCAATTTTTCGGATTTTTTTTTATTTAATTCCTGAGTGTAAAATCTGAAATTCTGGAACCTATTTCCGCATTCAAAGATATGATTGTTAATTATAATAGTGAATAAATTTCGTAACAGCTAAAATTCCTGACATTTGAAGCGTTTCGTGAAACATCGAACAGTTTTGAAGCAGTTCAAGACCTCGACTCGAGCTGAAGCATTTCTCGTATCCTTGAGCTCATCGCTTTTTAAACTATTCATCCTTAAGTACTATTTTTTATAGAGTGCAATGGAATTAACTCTCTTTCTCGCGAAATTAGCAGCTATTGAATCAAATCCAACTGGAATGAATGTATCCATCCGTAAACACCGTCCGCAGTTGCGAAACTTTATGACTCACACCACCCATTTATGATGTGATCCTAGCAAAGATTGTTTCTTGGTGATTTTTATTGTAAATATCATTTGTTTTGAGTGTAAACTTTGATCTACCCAATTTCTGGCTGTTTTCTCTCAGTGTGGGTTTCCCTTTTCACCGAAGAATTTCTCTCGTGTTTCTGCGTTTGATTGTGTTTTTTTTTTCTTTACGTTTTATGGAAAAGGTGAAGCGAGCTTTGGCCTCATCCTGCACTGAGTGTTGCGCCTGAAGCTCCCTGTTTTTAGAACTGGTACTTGGAGAATAATTAACGCGCTAAGTAATGCCTTTATTTCATTACCTCTTTTTCGTCGAACTCATTATATCTTGCTATAGTTTTTAATACTTTCACGGTAATGAGCATCCCGTTCCTGGTGATTAATCTTCAGTATTATTATATATTTTTACAATATTTTAATTCATACGCATAATCGATCGTTCCTCTTTGATTAGCAACAATGCACCGATAATTCATTTCAAATATTTAAGCGAACGATGAGTATTACATTCTTATTTTGTCTGCACTGCACACATGTACAAGTCTCTCATTTGTAAAATTTTCATCGCGTTCAGTGTTATTCCTGTCGCCACGGATTTGTCTCTAGCATATTGTCTGCTTAACTATCTATTGTAAGTGATGTTGGTGAGTGAATATTGTTCTATTTCGTTACAGGAATCACAATCCTGCTTTCATTGACGGTTTTTATGACGCTAGTAGCCGAACAGCTGCCGCAAGTTTCTGATGCCATTCCTTTGCTAGGTACGACGCGAACTGTTAACGGACTAGAACAACTGCTTAATAAACATAATTAACTTCATCATCGTAAAGATGCATAATTAATACGAAGAGTATCTACTCTTGGTGTGCTTAGTGTTTCATCTAAATAATTTATAACTACATGAAAAGTAATAAATAACTCAATAAATTAACATTACAAGTGTTTTCCGTAGACTGATGTCATGATGATCTCTGTCCTCGGTTGTATGAATGCAGACTATAGAAGTATCAATATTTTTGAGACGTTTTAATTTATTTTATATTTAATTTCGCTGATATGTAGAGGTCAGTGATATCGATTATCAATGAAGTGTTCATTTGTTTGCGATTATATTTACAGTAGCGTTGGCGTTAAAAACTAAAAAAAATATCTTGCTACATTTTCAATACACAAGTTTATGCTTCATTCGGACATCTTATTTTTGTCATGAAAGCTCTCAATTCCTGTTGTATTTACATAAGTAACTAAATCAGATACCTTCTTTAAGTATTGAGAATTTATTGCGTCAAAATCAATAGATTGACAATATATATTCAAGGCAAAAAGAAGTTAGTTCAAGTCCCATTAGCATCAGCTGACCCATAGCCTAGAAATTATAAACTAGTGGAATCAAACAATTTAAGAAAACAATTTTATTAATCATCGTGACAATAAGATTACAAATGAACATTTTGATACGGCTGGAAATGAATCCCTAAATAGACCGGGCGTTGCATGCTGTTTCGGTGTACATACAGAACTGCCTGATTGCCGCTATCTCGCACAAAAGTCATTTCTTCTCGGATCACTGCAAGCTGGTTTCAAACCACAAATATATTAAATTAATAGCATAGAGGTAGCACCTGCTGGCTATGTATTTTGCAGCCAGTAATTTCTCATGTCACTTCAGAAAGTTGTTTACAATGGCGGGTTCTTCCGATAGTGAAATGGTATAACAATTGCGTTTTTATCTTTTTCTGAACACTGAAGAGGTTCGAACAAGTTAATTGGAGTTCTCGATGATGAAATAAGCGACGACTCAATGTAAACTAACACCCGGTTTAATGTTAAATATTCAAAGTGACTGCTCACCGTCCAGAGTTTTTTAAGTGAAATAAACGGGGAATTGATTTCTGCGAGACAGCGACAGCGGAGTCTGTTATATTAGAAAAACGAGTCCCCTGCACACGACAGTCTTCGACCACACTCGTTTAATTAAATACGGATTATCGGTGGCCAATAGGAGGCCGATAGCTGTATCGTATTTGTTATTTATTTTGAATTGTCATATCGAGAGATGATGTTCTCCTTAGAGTAAAGTTTTAATGAGAACTCACCTTATACTGCATTAGCGCGTCTACTTCAAATCAATTTCAATTTGGCTTCTGATCAAATGTTTGATATTGAAAGACATAATTAATTTAATATAAACGTGGAGCTTTAGTTTAAAATCTTTAGCAAGCACTTATGGCGGCACTGCCCGATGAGGATGTTACATTTTTGCAAACAATGCGTTAATATTAAATTAAAAAATCAGTTATTTTCTAAAAAAATTTTATTGAAGTGGTCTGAAAACTGCTATGTGCATTGGTCTGAAACCGATGTTCTGTGCCTGTCCTCCATTTATGTTCTATATAAAACAATATAATATATTTTAATGCGACACGCTGCTTTATATTTGTTCACTAAATATTCATTTGATTATAATTATTTTTTATATTTTTATTCGAATTTCGAACAATCAAGCTTCGACAATGAAGTAAACCGTGTGTCAGTGCGCATTAAATTCCATAGTCAAAATTTTCAAAAATAACATATCCCTTGCGTTCAAATACATCTTTAATCAATTCAAATCAATATGACTATGATTTTTCGCCTATAAGTTTTTAGTTGAAAAAATAATAATAAGAAATCGAAACTATTTTTCTTATTTATTATTGTTTGTCTACTGTTTTCATTCTATCAATTTATTACTATTTTTTGGCCATGCCTCTGAATTGCTGAGAAGGCGCATTTCTGAAAATTATTTAAATAAAATTTAATAACTACACTCAGATTTACCTCGGTGACTTTCAATCCAAATTACATTTATAAAATAAAAAAATTCGAGTGTGTAGAATACATTTCACATTATTTTATTTGTTCATTTGTCGTACATTGGTGTGAATGTGAACATTTGTTCAATTTAACTTGTTTATTTGATTAAACCTTCACCGCCTAAACAAGACCCTTCACCGCTTTCGTACAAATTCCAATTATGATATTTTAATAATTCATAAATTGACGTATGTTATTTATACTAAAGAAATGTTTTGGCGGTGAAGGGTTAAACAAGCTAGAGGATAGAGAGAATTGACGACGTCTAACAAACACTTTATTTAAATAAATTATGGTGAACTTGAGTCATTGTGTTCTGCAACCGCGTTATTCAAATTAAATCGAACAATTAATTAATATTAGGGCCGTCCTTAGTAACCGATTACGCGAAGAACTCAGCCGGTGTTGCAAGGTTTCCTTTAAAAAAATTAAAAATCACAAAGAGGTTTCAGGTTTATTTTTTTATTTGTAGATCGGATCATTGATAATTACAACTACGAAACGGAATAAATTCTCCAAGTATCATTAACATTATTATTGATTGGTATTAAAGTACCGATGGTTTTTCTTTCTATAGCGATAGCCTCATTATTGTATTTAAAATCTGACTCCTAAACTGACCATCAAGTAAAGCACGCTTATTCCGTTAGTTTTAATGCATGTTCGTTAAGCTGCAAAAGATGCATGCGTTGGCTCTGTGTTGTATGTGTGATTCCCTTTCAAATGTTATTATTCATATGTTTTTATTTAATTCGTACAGCTTCTAGTATTTTCCTTTGTATATAATGGAAATTTTGAGAGGAAAGAAATAACCTGACAATCCTTTTTTTCATTTCCTGTACATGAAAATTTTTAATTATTGAATAATATTCACTTTTGTCCATAATATTCACTATAATGTTCACTTTTCGTCTTAGATTAAAAATATTCATATATTACTCATCATATTTTTCTCTACGTTCATGCATGTTTAAAAATGTCCTCAATCCTCACCCGCCTTTTGTGTGTCTTGCTTTTGCCGTGTCGCTCCTAAAAAATTATTGATGAATTGAATGAATTGCCTGCTTGTCATGCAATAGACTGTATTTTAATCGTTGTACTAGCTATAGAATTATTATTAATAAGCTAAAACTTAAAAAATAACAATGCGATTGATATGATAAAAGAAAATTAAAATCACTATAACTATTTGACCTGACCTAATAATTAAAACTAATGCATTCTGATCGAATACCAAAACCTCTCGTGAATATTGTGTCAAATAACTTGTGATTGTAATTGACTAAAAAACTCGTGATACAATCTAGCAATCTTCAATTTCAAGAATTTTCATCATGTTTTCATTGCGTTGCAGCCACGTATTTTAACTGCATCATGTTCATGGTGGCATCATCGGTGGTTCTGACTGTGGTGGTACTAAACTACCACCACAGAAGCCCTACCACTCATACCATGCCTGACTGGGTAAGTTCTTCCGACCACCGCTGGGCTGGAGGTACTGCAAGCACCCCTTCGTCGTCAAGAGACTTCAGAAGCGACCTCGAGAGGAACACGTCCAGGACCACGCGATACGTCGAGCCTATACCGCGATGGGTGAGAGACGTTCAATTAAAATGGCGTATTAAGTAAATGTCTTCATTTTTAGCGCATTTTCTCATTAATGGAAAAAATGCACTATTGTGCTCGCCCATGTCCGTCTATCTGACTGTCTGTCTGTCTGTCCGTCCGTCCGTGACCTCAAGTTTTAGTCGACGAGAAAATGCGCTCTCTGTCATTGCAGTGAGTACTGGGTTATGTTTTTTTTTGGTATCTCGTGCAAAGGAAAAGTTCGTTCTAAACTTCTGTTTGGCGTAGTTTCTTTCCTTTACCATATACTACAGATGAGAATTCTGCAGGCTCAGGAATACTTAGTTTAACCTCTGTGCGATGCCCGTTGGGCTAACTTTTCCGTAGGTGCTCATATAACCATTATATAACCAGTGATAAAAAAACTCCTCCGCAATGGAACAGATGTATTTATTCTGATGTTTTCGGCCACAGCTTCCGTAGAGTTTGAATCTCATTTATTAAATAATGTGATAATCTCTTTTAAAGAATGTGAAAGAATGTGAGAAAAATAGTGCATCATTCTTTACGGTTCAATACTCAACACGGCCAATCGCCAGTTTCCGTTCACTTTCTTTCCTCCGATGTAAGACGTGCTGGTCACTCGCTCGCTGATATTTTGAGCCATTTTATTGTTTATTATTATTGCCTAATCAGTGTTATTTTTAGTAACCCTTTCCGTGAGTGTACCTTGCATTCAAGTCGTTCTTTCTCCATGAAATAATAGGTAGAATATTTCTAGTTCAGAGCAAGGTAAAATATTATTTTTAGCGTATTTTCTCATTTATTGAAAAAAGGCGCTATTGTGCTCGTCATGTCCGTCCGTCCGTGACTTCACGGAAGGACGAGAAAATGCGCTCACTGTCACTCACTACAGTGAGTACTGATCTAATTTTCTGTTATGGGGTCCACAACAAAGAAAATGCTTAACCAAAGAGTAACATTTATTATTTTTTATCTTCAGGTGCGGACTGTTTTACTTCAGTGGCTCCCATGGCTATTGAGAATGCAGCGGCCGCGCAAGAAAATTACCAGAAAAACCATCGCCTTGAGCAACAAGATGAAAGAGTTGGACTTGAAAGAAAAGTCTTCCAAATCTCTATTGGCAAATGTACTTGACATCGACGACGACTTTCGACAAATTCGTACACTTTCTTCCACTCCGACTTCTTCACATAACGGCGGCTACACGAGGCTACTAGGCAGATCTTACGAAGAGGGAGGCATGCCATCATCTCAGAGTTCTTATTGTTTCAATAACACCAAAGAGTTACAAAACATATTAAAGGAGCTTCGATTTATTACTGGGAGCATGAAACAAGATGAAGAAAATAATGAAGTAGTGATGGATTGGAAGTTTGCAGCTATGGTCGTCGATAGATTCTGCTTGATAACTTTTACTCTGTACACGATCATCTCGACAATTGTTGTGATAATCACGGCACCGCATATTTTTGTTGCTTGATCTCTAATAGAGCTGAAAGCTGCGGTGTTCTGCCACATAATTTTACATATGAGTGAAGAAAAAACACGTTTGTCCTCTCCTTATAAGCAATTTTATTCCGCACGAAATTAGTTACTTCGTGTGTAACAATTCAATATCTTTTACTCTTTTACTCGATATAACTGACAAAAGTGAGTGAGAACGGGTTGTTACTTCTCTCAGACTGACTTGGGTTGTTTTCAGAGATATTACATGTATTCGTAAGTACCCCACGTGTTGATGATGACGTCCAATACATCATTTTCCAACGAAGGCTCTAACATTTCATCGCTATACACCAGTCGGAATAATATTTTAACATCCCCCTTCACATATACCTCTTTCAATATATTTGTTTTTTTAGTTGTGTAATTTTAAGTGTACACCTGTATGCTGCGTTCGTAATTTTTAAATACTACTCAATGGGACAATGAGAAGGCAGGGGATTCAAAACGCGACCTTAGCTTTTCCCTTTAAAAAAACTATTCTCCAAGTGTTCGAATTGGTAAATATCATTGATGAAGGACTGCCTTCTACTTCAAATTTCTACCGTACGAAGATGTGAGCTACTTCACAGTTTGGGCGATGGTTCGATATGTAACTGAAGGTCTTGGTTGCGACTGGTCCTTCAAGTCAAATGTTTCACTAGCACCTTTGTAATAACCATAGAATGGCAGATGATAATCACCAGCAACAAACTTCGTGAAAGTTTTATACATTACATACGTGAGAACTAGCATAACGATATGAATTTAAGGTTGTAGTATTTTGTTAGCCCTTGACCGCTCAAAAATTGTATATATCCCTACATTATTCGTTTGCACCTTGTAGTGACGACAGAAATTAGTTCCTTATTCCCAAATATCGTCGCAACTACGTAGTATGAAATGCCACCCTGAACGGAGCACTAGATTTTCATTTAAGACTTTGTATTTTCGCTAGACTCATAATATGGGTGAATTGCTTAGGCAATAAAACGAGTAGTTAGCCATACCCGTTCATTGTCAGGAGATGTTACTCATAGATACGTTTCCTAACATTTATAATTAATGTCATTTATACTCAGTCAGGGCTCATTCTTATATGCCTATGGGTACTTATTCAGACGTTTTTTCATAGGGTTAATTGCTAAAGCTCAATTTTGATCAGATAGCATCGTTTCTTTCATGTGTATAGATTCTTTACGAGTCTGAAAAATTCGTTGCTCTGTAAATGAACTTCTTGCCTTTTAATCGAGTCCAAAATCAATAACTAATATTTTTCTATATAATTCAGTTTGAAATTTAGCTGGACAATTGAAGTTTATCGGCTATCGATCAATTATTGTAATCTAGAATCCATCGAGTTTTTGTACCATGTCATGAGTATACGACGTTCGATCGCGTTATTATAGACTTAATGTGAAATCATTATAACTTTCATACGTTGGGTTAATCAAATATTGATTCCAATGTAAAGATTTAGTTTTCTAGTACGTCTAATCGCTGACGGTTAGCACCAGCATATTGACTAAGCAGACAATCGATTTTTCAAATTATTCTAATACTCATCAGCTGGAAAATAAATTACATTCAATGTTCTTAGAAAGTTTATTCAGCGCAATATGCCGGTTTATTGCCTCAAATCTTTCAATTCGCGTTTGGAATGAGTTATTAATTTTTCTTGCCGCATGAAAAAAACATCAAGCTTAAGTTTATGCGGCTCCCAAATTTTGTATCCATGGAAAAATAACGAATACGTCTTTCATATGATATAGTGAATGCTCAGTGCATGACTCTTCCGTTCATATCTATGAACAATGAAGCGACGATCCTTATTCTGGAAACATATCGTGTTTCATCAATAATATCATTTATTGCAACTATAACTGGACAAATACATCATTTGCGTATAGAGAAAACTATAAAACCGGTCACATTTTTAGTGGGAGTCAGCGAAAATCCTTTCAAAAATATGATTAAATATATTCACTAAATAATACAGTGTTAATTCGCAATCGAGCTGAAAATCGGTTAAAAAAATATACATGGGACTCAGACATTTATGACGGTTTTCCCTCGGTGCAAATGATTCATTGTCCACTTTAGACGTAGTTGGTTTAGGTACGCGCTGCAGTAGTAGAACCTTCGTTACAACCTCCCACTCAGTGCTTCCCGCTACCTAATAGTGAAGAGTGGAACGCTACAACCGTAGTTGGCTTCTCTTGCTCTTGCCTCTAGACAGAAAGCTGCCATAACTTTGTTCGTGCAATTCATGCTCAAACACGAACCGCTCAGGAAGCTGGAATTCCGACTATAAGCTGCAGATTTGGTTCTCTGAATTGTGTCAATGAGCGGTAACATTCAATTACGAGTTTTCAAGATTGCTGGCTTTAAATCATAGAATTCAAAAATTTGATTGTTAACTTGTTCTTATTCTTTATTTCGCATGAGGAACAGATAATTTCAGAGCAGCAATGTCGTTACATGTTTCTGATATAATTCGTGAATGCGAATATTCTTTTTAATCATATTTGTATTTTTCCTACTCAACACTACGTTTTTCTGATCCGTGACAATAGTGGTATGTTCACGACATTTTGATTCGTTCAAAATGTTCCTTGTAACGCCAGAATAACCGCGCCAGTTATTAAAATACCAGTCGCCATTTTTTTTTATATTTAGTTTCAACTCTTGATGCAGTCTTAATTAAACAAATTTTCAACAGCTTTATTTTGAGAAAAACTACGATTCCGTTGAGATATAAATGTTGAGGCTTTATTTCAATTGTTTGCTATGTAATTTTCTTTATAATTCCATCAATAAAGTCTTTCATTTCCCAAAGCATTTGCATAAGAACATTTTCCTAATGTTCCATTATTCAATTCCAACCATTAATGACTCAAGAAATATTTCAGAAAATCTGCACTGAATTTAGTTGATATTGATGTATTTTACTTGAGATTTAATTTTTTAGCTAATGCTTAAGATTTCAAATTCAATATATAAATTCATTAGTGAATAAGAAAGGGTACTTTAAAAGTCCTTGAGCTATTTTCATCCTCATGTCTATGTTCTCGGTAATTCTTGTTTGGTAATTAGATTATTTTTCAAATCTGTGAAGGGCGGAGCTTTATAAGATGACGTCATAATGAATTCATGAAGAAATTACCAGGGTAAAGAATTTATATTATTGATCTTTAAACTATGTGAATTCATTGAACAACCATAACGTTTCATTGCACGAAAGCTGTTGCCTGAGTATCATTTTTTTCAGACAGACCTATCGGTATTAAGACTCGAGCAACGCGTTAAAAAATTACTTATGGAAAATTTTTCTAATTTCAACGCGACCGATTCAATCGACCTCGGATTTTATATAACTCTAGTGAAACAAATTATAGCTCGTTGTCTTAAATCCTGAAACAATAAGAATGTATTTTGTACAGAAAGATTGATTGATTAGCTCTGGTGTGTGATGAAGTTCTTGAAAATAACCAACTACCGAACATATGTATTATGTCACCTCAAGAAATGAATCTAATTCGAGCAATGAGAGCGAGCACTATTTCGTACATTTGTAGTTAATAACGGAGAGAAATATTTATCTTAAATAGTGAGATAAAGAAATAATATTTTCCTCACTACTTGAAGCGAGAATGACGAACTTGAAGTGCGTAGTATAATCGAAGCGTTTATAGCGTATACAATCGCGCGACATTTTGTACCAACATCCCGCAGCGTCCCATGAGTGTGAATGCAATAAATGTAAATTCTTTGCACTGTTTTCTTTTCCGTACAAAAAAGGCCGTCAAGTTCGCCCTCACTAACTGAAAAAAGGTCATTATGGCACCGTGGACTGCAACGGAAGCCTGTTGGTTCAGAGACGGACTGACGGTTCAGCAGCAGGGCAATCATGAGGCTATGCAAACTGCCAAGTCAGGAAGTAAAACTTCTCGGTCTCCACTAATGTCCACCAATCAAGGTTGTTATTGCCGAACATTTATGCAAGTTTTTGTTGCCCGAAAGTTGAAATACTAGAAACAAAAAGAGTAAACACAATAATACGGATTGGTGAACCACAACAAAAATGAGGGAAAATACCGGTATATAGAAATAAAACTGAAAAAAATATCGCAAATCTGCAACTTGAACGCATCCACAAAGAAGACAGGCGCATATAACGACGACGTTGCTGCAAGACAATACCAATATTGGCGTCGGTCAGAGTTGAGTACAACTGATTGCTACTAACCGAGTGAGAACGGCTTAACTAAGTCAGTCGAGAAGTAACGGTGTAGTTAGGCTAGTAGTGACGATTGTGATTCTATTGAAATAACGATCGTTGCATGGAGCCATACTTGTATAGTGACACTTATTGATTGGGATGTAACTCACTGGGTGGATAACTTAATAGATTTTATTGCTTAAAACAACATTTCCTTGAGGTTTACATCTTACAAAAATCCTATATGCTATTTAAAGAATGCTTTTCAAAACTCGCCTGCTTGATCTTTAAACATGTATAATTTAAGCTCTATAACCATAAATATTAGGTATTGATGAGTACGTAACACTGGCGGTATTTAAGAAGGAACATAAGCTCAATTACGTTTGCATGAATAAAAATCTATCTTAATGAAAAAATTACGACACGTGAAGTCAGCATGGAAGAATATTTTAATTTATTCAACAAATTTAAAGCGGGTTGCTCAGTGAAATACAGCTTTGATGACTTAATTTTGATAAATTTAGTATAGCTCGCACGAAAAAAAACCTTGAAGCTAAAACGATTTTTGCGTCACTCAGTGCCCTAAAAATAAAAATTTTCCTAATTAAATGAAGCTCGGTAAGTCAGGCGCTAGAAAAAATGTCTCTTTTTTGATTGAAATTGAAATCAAGCAATCATTTCATTCATCTTTCTGCCATTAAATGCATTGAAAAATGTAGCACCAATTTTCGTAATAAAAATAATAACGTAAATTTTGCAAAAAATTAGTAGATGCAACGCAAGATTGTTTGATACTTTGGCACCGATCAAATTTAACACCTACGTTAGACTTATTTTGATCAAATCAGCTTTCAATGCAAAACGCGACTTATTAACTACGAATTTCGACGCAAAAGTTTTCGAGAGAATAGCATTGGCATCTACCAACCATGCACCTCCCATAGTTACAATGTACAAACATTCACAAATGACATCGCTAAACACTGAAAACATTTACCTCGTCACACCAATTGCCCCAGTTATGATTACGAATTTTGCCCTGAATAAAGAAAGCTACGACACTTCCTAAGAATTCGCTTTATAAATTAATTCAAGCAAAAAAATAACAATTAAATTGTCCACGCGAAAAAAGTAACTTTGAATTCGATACGTCACATAGGTAAACTTTTTTCAGAGCAAGGAACGCATTTGGTGTTCATTTACAACAACTTTTTCGCAATTCAACATATCTTTTCGTAGCATTGAAGTGGACTCGAGGAAAACGCGCTACGTGCAAACAAAGAATTTTAACTACAATGACGAGCTTGAGCAAATTGTTGCAGTCTTTCCTAGCACAATGACGCAATACTTCTACAATAAAATTGTCTTAAATAGTCATTACAATAAAGTTCTCTTCTCAATCAATTTTCAGAAATTCGTGCAAATTCATTTACTTGTGTAATAATTTTTGAAGAATGAATGCTATCTCACATAGAATATTGAATATTAAAACCACTAAAAAATCTATCTACAATAGATTTCTTTCGTTTAAATTCTTTGATTATTTTGTTATCAATTGGCAACTCGCTCTTATAAGATGAATAATCAGCAAGAGCCTCTTGATGGCTATGTTGAATTACATACCTATACGCAAATTATTATTTCAAATTAAAATCCAAACCTCAACAGAATTTGTGAACCTGTCAGTAAATTTTACGGTTGATTAACGGTAAAAAAAGATCAAGTAAGCAGAATCATTACAAACCATTCTCATATCTGACATTATAACAACGACACATTTTTTTGCTGCCCAGATTGAAATCACCAAAAGAACATGCTTGTTTATTCATTATCATAGGCATCTTTTCTACTAGCGGTACAAAATTACTAGCGGTTGATCGCTTGAAAAGCTTGTTGCATCCTCTGAACGAACAACAAACAAAAAATTTTTTTGCGCGATTTTCGGGCAAACTGATTATGGCAAACATGTGATATAAAACGGAATATAGACTCTGAATGACATCTACAGTTTGATAGCCAATGCAAGACTCAATGTCATTGCAAATGCTCATCAATATCATTACAAGCTACGGACACCTCAGCAAGACATTAAGCGCAAATGTTTTAGTACCAAATTAACGGGTAACAAAGTAAGCACAAAGTGCTTAGCAATATTAGGCTATGGAAGCTTAGTATTTAAAGCACATCAAGAGGTTCGCTTAGGGAAAGCCGACAAGGATTATTCCATCGACGAACGAAGCATCAAATTCTGCATGAACGAAGATCTTTTCAACGTTGGCTGATCTAAAACAGTATGCAGACGAAACGCTATAAAAATCCAAGCCATACATGGCAGGTGTAATAGCATTCAAGTATTTCACGAACATCGGACTACTCGTAAAAAAACTCCTTAGATTTCTGACGTTAGCAACTGGCGCAAAAACATGGCTGAACTTTGAGCATTTGAATTTGTTTACACTCACGGGTTACCCTAAGAATACTAATCCTACCCTAAAGTTACTCCAAAGCAAAGTCCATGAATACTTACAAATATCCCATCAGAAATTCTTGTCCGATCAAAAATGTATTGTATTCGTAGCTTTGTTAAACGATACAAATGAAATCGTCTTTATTGAAGGTCAACTTTCCCCGAAATTCAAATCCCCCGGATGATTAGATCGGCTGATCCCAGATGATCAGAAGAAAATCAACCGAATAAAGTTATTGAAAAATTGGTTGGACACTTCAAAAGAAGTAATAAGAAATTAATAGTATTATAGCAGGACATTTTACCAAATGCGCTGGTAAGTTTAACAAAAATTTAGTATTTTCCACTTTTGTGGGACAACAATTTATGATGGGAAGGGAACCACAAGCCTAAAAAGAGGGTAAAATGAGGGATTTTCTTCTATATTCAGGTAAAGGACCTTGATTATGTACGGTAATACAAAGGGACGAAGATATTAAAACAAAGATCCTGTTAAGCAAGCCCAGAACTGTCAAGAACACGCATCTTTGGAGTCAACCGAAGATTTTATTACAAAACATTAGTCATTGAATTCTATTTTGACACAACAGTAAGAAAATGTGTGGTTAACTTAATAATTTATCTTGCAAAAGCAGAGTCAAAATTCATAGACCATTTCATACGTCAGAACGTGTACTTGACAGTTCTCATTCGTGCTTCAGTCATTCCCAACAAATATAATCTTAATATTCTACAAAATTCGTTACCTTTAATTCAACATGAGAAAGAAACCTGGCAGATAATAATCCGGATAGTTTACATTATCAATAAAAGAATTTCCTTATCTGAATGAAATGATTAACACTTCGTAAATTTGAGTATAGACGTGAAAAAAAATTTAGAATTTAGGTTACTACAGGCAATAAATTTGAATCAGCCTTCAGAGTGTATACAAAAACATTTTTGTTCATGGATGATCAAACCGTCCTGAATCATTTTTCTCGCGGGAATCATATTGATAAAAGATGTAAAGATATAAATTGTCGATTATGCAGTTCCCTACACGAATTTTATACACAACTTTATTAAGAAGGTCAGTTCCTTCCAAGATCTGAACCTCAGGTTTGGGAATTATTCCCAGCAGGTATAAAGATTTCTTCACCAGAATATTATACATAAACATTACAATACGTTCCAGAAAGATAATAATGAAATTATGCACTTTCACATTTTCTTACTCAAGGGAATTAAAGTATTTTTTCACTGTCTAGTAATTACCAAGAATTAAACAATGCAGTAATGAACATGTGCATTGCGCACGCCATGCTGATATTCTCATTGAAAACTAAAAAAGTTGATAAAATCTACGCAATTCAAAAATCATCAACATTTACACTGCTTGTTAACCACACTCCACTCGATAAATGTCAGATATTAGCAGATTATTCGCAATATCTCTACTTCTCATGTATAAATTTTCTGCTTGACTACGGAATCCAACTCTGTAACCACGCTCTTTATAGGTTTTAGGAACCTACATACAGTGCTAGACGTGAGTGTATATTTAATATATTTTATCGTAAAGAATTCAATATTAAACGAAAACCAGGAAAAGAATATTCAAGGTCTCCTAAAAACTTGTCAAATTCATTCAATTTTTTTTAGGAACGAACACAAATATCCTTTTCCTGTTTTTTTAGATAATGTTAACGTCAGTATACACTCTTCTTCTAACTGTCTTATGTATGAGAAACGTTTGTATAGATCACTACTGAGCGTTCAAGGCTTCGATTTTCCCCCAAGGTTGGATCCAAACTTGCGACCCTCTCCGACGCTCTTTTCTTTCATGCAAAACTTAATCCGAAATTAATGTGCGACAACTTCTTATTTCCGTACAACTGCTGTGCTAAACTGTTAAAAATGCCACTTGAATACAGTGAATAAAATTAAGAGCCTTGTATTTGGAGGGCACTACAAAAAAATATTCAGGGAACTTGTTCAGCAGATAAGTTGAACTGAAGCTTGGAATTGTTATGAAATTATTTATTATTATCATTATTAATAATTCAATAATATGGACTAATTTAATGTCCAACTTCATTACAGGGAAAATTTACAGCAGTGAATCGTAAGCAATAACGAACGAAAACCGCTTAACGAAAATATGATTACAAATTTAATGCTCTATGACCTTTCTTTAGAGATAAATAAATTTGAATCCATTAGCCTAAAGCGTTTGAAATCAGAAATAAAATATGTTTATCGAGCAAAAAACACTTCAAATTAAGCTACAATCTTCCACACATTCAACTTTGGGTCGAGAGCGTCGGATGTCCCGCTTATGTCTTGACTTTCGTTCTTATTTGCCCTTGTAAGTTTCAATAATTTTGTCTTGATCGACATACTCGAATATATGCGGCGCATCCATGAGTATGCCGATGGTTCCCGCTGTGGTAACAGTGAAGAAAATGTACAGCTGGAGCCTATCAATCACCATCGCCACATACTTCCAGTCTTCTCGAACCTGATCACACAGAGTAGAATATCAGTCGTTGTTAATAGATGAATATACACAAACAAAATTTGAATGTACATAGTTTGTACGGCAATTGTTCATTTATTTTGGGGATCATTCGAAGTATATATTGCTGAAATCAATGGAGATTAAAGGTAAATGAAAGCTAAAATGGTGCGTGAGGCTCGGCAAGCTTTTTCTAAAATGATAGAAACTTGTGATTTTTCAGCTGCATTCCGCACAAAATGTACTAGTAGGTTAGCAGAGTTGAAGAAATTGTAGAGATTCGAAAATGTATTCATTAAATTAACTGGAGGCTCTTCACGGTAACAGGACCAGTGACATTTTGTATAAGAGTAGTAGACAGTTTTATACTATATCCTTCTGCACATTCATCGCTAAAAAGTTCTCAATTTTTCAGTACTGCTTGCTTATTACAAAAAAATTGTACTGCTCCCTGGGAGCCATATCTCGCCTTTCAATGAACTATTCTTTTCACCACCCATTTGCCGTAAATTTCCTACGGTTCAGTATTTTCACCGTCACTACAAAACTACGGTTGTCGAAGATCAACTCCGGCACCGAATGTCTTTGCCGCTAATAATAAGATTTAAAGTTTTCCGTTGACGCCACGTTCGTCACTACAAGCGCCCCATCAGACATCTGACGTTGCATCAACGTTGAGTTAACCGTTTTTTCGTGGAATCAACGTTAATTAAACGTTGTTTAAGCTTCAGTTGTCTGGTCGGTCGTGAGTACATGTCATATATCCTTGGTTTAATTGCCTCAGCCCCCAGCGTCATGTTTCGCGGTGTACGTTAAATTAACAAATTAATATGATACCGCACGCTCCCAAAAAATCAGAAAGAACCAATGGTCAACTTAAGTATTTTTTGCTTCCGTTTTGAATTTCGATGAGTGGTGAAAAATCAACCCTAGTCCAATGGTCTAAAACTTAAAAGGTGTCGTAATTAATTAAAATCAAAATAAAACGAAAATGACGATTCTTGTATATACCTACTTTAAGGATTCATTGATGGATAACTGAACTATATTCACTTACCTGAATATACTCATCCTCATTCCTCAGATGTTCGGCGATAAACTCTACGGCCTCCGTCGCCTTGTAGGCTTCAGGCGTCATGAATAACGAGTCTGAGCCCTCTGAACCGCGACGATTCATCTGTGATTAGATCAATAAGCATGGTAATACATCCTGCAAATAATTCCTATTATACTATTTCTTGCGTTCCATGAAAAGCGAGAAACACGAATTTCATATTCAATGAAAGCATACTATTAAAATTTTTCGTTTAGTTAAGACCACCATTTAATTCTTCTGTCTTAAGCGCTAGTCCACCACTCACCTCTCTGTCGTAAGTATTCGTCCACCACTCACCTCTCTGTCGTAAGCGTTCGTCCCCCACTCACCTCTCTGTCGTAAGCATTCGTCCACCACTCACCTCTCTGTCGTAAGCATTCGTCCACCACTCACCTCTCTGTCGTAAGCGTTCGTCCACCACTCACCTCTCTGTCGTAAGCGTTCGTCCTGTTTATCTTGCAGTTCGGATGGTGCAGGTCCGACAGTTCCATGATGTCCATCTTGCTCTTGGACAGCTGAGGTGAAGTGTATTGCGGATGCTGGGGAACACCGCTAGGATTTGCTGTGTAAATTAAAAAATTTATATCAATTATTTGATGAGCATTATCAAGTAGAAAATACGTTTAGCATTTAGACCAAATCCTACATTGATTAGTTTGCACATCGAACTATTTTCGTTACATGTAGACCAAACCTCCCTCTCGAGAAACATTTCGAAACATTTTTACCAACTATTCACTATTATTAAGTATATCAAGAAATAACCTAGTACAATAGATAAACACTCTTTCTATCCTAGTATTAATTCTTATCTTTAATTGTGAATATTGAATTATCATTGACACTTACATGGCATCTCGTTCATCCAGTGCAGACGAGTCTTCCTCGGTCGCTTCATGAAGAGGATCGCTGGCAGGTAGTTCAGGAACACGAGTCTGATCCAGTTCGGCATACGATGAGTTCTCGGGCCTCTGAAAACATTCATAAAATCACATTGATGAAACAACGCGAGTAATACAATGATTTATATTATTCTTTAGATTGATTCAAAATTTTTGATTAATGTGTACATATAATCAGCCTTCTATAAATTTGACATTAATAAATCAAATCAACTGATTGCTCGCCATTTTTCAATAAACTATGAATCTTTAAACGAAAAATTAGTCGATAACAATTTTTGTTTTTAACGCCTTCTCTCTAGGTTGTTATAAGATGGACTTTGTTATCTTGCGTTATTCTTCTTTGCAATAGATATTGCTAAAATCTAGCTAACAGATTTCCTGAGTCGATCCGAAAACTCACTACTTACTCCCTATTCTAAAATTTCACTAATATTTGTAAAATTACCTTTCATCTGAATTTAAGGCTTCCTTTTCCATAGTTTAAATAACTGTTAAATTGAATTCTCATCTGGAATTGAGGTTCTCATTTCCAAAATTTAAATGATTTCCAAAATATTTTCTCACATAAAAATTAAGTGCCCCTGTTCCAGAATCAAACAAATTTGAAATTCAACTATGACCTGAAATTGAAGTTGCTTTTCCTATAATTTAAATAATTGCTAAATTAAATTCTCATCTGGAATTTATGATCTTTTTAGCGCATTTTCTCATTTNAAATAAAAAATATAACTCAGTACTCACTGCAGTGAGTACTGAGTTATATTTTTTTCTAGAATTCCACTTATTATTTAATTCAGTTCTCACCTGAAATTGAGGTTGATGATGACGACAGTGACGAGGATGGAGACTGTGTTCATGACGAAGGTGAAGAGCAAATACTTGGCTATGAGCGGCAGCACTAGCGACGTTGGTGGTAGGATTTTGCTCACCAGCAACAGAAACACAACCAGTGACAGGAGAATGGAAATGCCCAATGTAACCTGTGCATACAAACGTACAGTAATTATTTAGAGCAGTAAAGTTGAATAAGAGCGGGAAAAATAAGAAATAAGTAATGCGTCTGTGTTGGTGTAACCGAGTTGACTTTTTGCACGTAAATATGTTCTTAAAATATTTTAATTTTACTAATTTAATTACTCCGTCACGATTAAGTGAAAAATGTAATAGAGTTGTAAAATTATCTGACTATTTAGAAGCAGAGAGCATCGAAATAGTCGAGCTTTCAAGTGCCGTTTCAATTTGAGAAAATTATCGTAAAAATTACATCTAATAATATCATTAGTAATGAAAAATAAAAAAAAAATTCCCTGTATTAATTCATTTTTATAACCAATCTTCAGAAAACGAATAATTTTAATCGTAGAGCAATATTCGAACAATTTTTTTGACTGCCCATTGTGAACGCATCTCTTAAATTTCTATCGCTTTTTGAAAAATCGGCTGACGTCAAACTCAGTTTAAACGTTCACCTTTAAGCCTCATCGAACAACAGAAAATGAAAAACATCAAGTAGGTTTATGGTAAACGATGACGCATGGGCGTGAACTAAAACTAGATTCATACTTTTGGAAATTTGATCATTTACGATTATGTATTTCACTAGGTTAATCTCTATTTCACGTTTAAACTGTATGCTTCTCACACCTTAAAAAATTGTCTATGCAGTCAATCTATTAAAATCTTGCTCTGATTACGTTTGCTAAAAGATTTCATCTATAATTTATGGGCATTTTGAAAGTTTATTCTCTGCACTGGGTTAGTGTGCATCAAAAGAGGAATTAACAATATTCTTTCCAGCAGTTTAGTAGGCAAGCAACTGGAAACTTGTACTCTTCACTCACTATTACAATTCTGCTGTGCTTAACCGCCCGGCCTCTTTGCCGATTCTGACCAGAAACTGGCGCACAGAGCTGGGAACGAACCCGCGCCTCTCTGCGCCAACCTTGGTACTCTGAACTTTAACCACTGGGCCACCCTGCCCTTTAACCACTGGGCCATTAGAATTACCATGCAACTAAGGAGGAGAATCAATTTTAATTGTTAATTTTACTATTTTTGCGATTCCCATCGCATTTTTGAGCAGATGAAAATTGGTTAGATTCAATGCTGAGGTAGCACAAGAAAATTTATTCCATACGTAGTGGACTCAGTAGACATCAGTGAAGCCATCCAAAGTTTAGATAACCGATTGTATGAACAATTTTTATATTAGGAGCATGGGACTTTTAGCCAGAAACTATTTTATCCATTTCATAAGATCCCGAAAATACAATTGTGTCAGAGTTGAGTGATTTTATAATGCATTTTAATTTATTTTACAAATATTAAATTTTATCTCTTATTAGTTAACTCGTGTATCTATCACATTTCAGGTCTCATGTGTATACTCATAGATTCAACATTTAAAATGGAAATTATCTGTCTCCTTTAGTGAAATTTTACGCATGCTATCATATTATTTTTAGTATAGACATGAATTAATGGATGCCGTCTATGATTTTTTTTATTAATTCGCTAACTCATTCTTTATGACGCTACTTGAATAAAAATATCTAATGTATTTTATTTGAAGGTCTATCTACTCACTTCCACGATATCCCAGGTTCCAGATTTCCAGTAATCCGACAAGTCAACGAAATCTTTATCATTGTAAAGGGACAAGGAAACTTGATCTCCGTTGAATGTCCAAGATCCGAATTTCATGAGACATGTTTGCTGGTCGAACGGGAAATACGTGACGTCGATCGTGCACGAGCTCTGCGTAAAAACATGTACGTCAAAATACGTAGTTTTGATCGTACCGAGGCAAAGGACTTACGATACTTCATTGCACGTCAATATACGTATATACGTAGTTTTGATCGTACCAAGGCACTTGCTTACGACTCTTCTATGTACGTCAATCACTTACGACACTATAATCCGCCAATAATCATTGCTTAGATTGGGCTAATGTCAACGACTTGACAGTGGCAAATCGTTGCCTCGGCGCATAAAAAGCGTGAAGTGAAGAAGATAATTTTATTTATTACTTTTAATATTATAATAGGTAAAGCTTACAGTATTCTAATAATATTACTAAGCTTGCCGAGTCACCAATTCATTTATATACATTAAAATAGAGGCGACTTGAAGACAATATTTACATTTATTTCTTCAAAAGACTATACCTGATAAATGGCAGGGGGCACCCACAAGACCTCGCCGCTGGGGTAGATCAGGACGTTGCTCTTGTAGCGCACCTCGTAGTTGCCGTCGGCGCTGCAATAAATTTTCTTATCAAGTTTTATGTAATTCAGAAGAGAATAATTTTGTCGGGTTAAAGGCTTTCACACAGAATACGGTTGAAAAATATTCAGTTCTGACACAAAAACGTGTTTCGGGAAAAAAATTAAATTCCATAAATTTTAGCTTCGAGAAATTGGTGACGAAATTTAAACTGACAATGCTATCGAATTTTGAAAATTGAAGCTTATAATCATTATTAACATACGAGGCAGAGGCAGAGGAAAATTTGAAGTTCAGCTATAAAATCAATTTGTGTTCATATATTGGGATAATATAAAAAATATAACTCAGTACTCACTGCAGTGAGTAGACATGGCGAGCACAATAGTGCATTTTTTCCATAAATGAGAAAATGCGCTAAAAATATAAAATATCCATTGCCTGTCTTGTAACCTCAGCTGAAATACTGCACCTACAGCGCTTACATCACAGTACCCATTGCCAGTCAACTCAGGGCAAGATTAAACAATTTTATATTGAAACTCGCAAGCTTCGTTAGCGAAGCTGTCAAAATCAGAACTTTGAAGCGAACTTTGTGAAGTCTGTGACCTGAAAGTGCCTTCAACTCGAAACAGTGTTTGAGGGTCTGTTTGTGGAATAATAATTTCTTGTTTTGCATAAAAAAATAATTGCTTATTCAATTTGAAAGAGTTCACCCGTGGAATAAGTCCGCTTTACTGTACAAGTAGAAAGCGGCTCTATACTTATGGGCACAAGGAAGAAATGACAATGTTTCAGCTACAAAAATAAGGAAAGTTAATAAATTTAAGAATAATTTAACAGAAGAGGATTCATATAATATTAGGTTTTCCCAGCTTAGCCTGTCTAACTCATGTTTTAAATATTTTTGTTAAAAAATTTATTCTGTAGGTAATTAACCAAGCTTAATTAAAATCCACCAAAAAATAACACAGTTCAGCACCAAAATTCTTATAAATTAGGTCAAAATATGAAATGATTTGAATTGTAAATATTAAACAACTGAGGAAATAGCACCAGTTTTGTAAGCCTATCATGTATACATTCATAATGAAAGAGACTTCGAGTTTTTCATGTGACAAAAATAATGCTCTTTTTATATATTATGTCCATGATTAGTATCGGAAGATATATATAAAAAAATTAATTTGACGTAGAGGCTTTTCAAGTTTGAAAAAGTTGTCGATCTTAAGGTAAAAATTTTAATCCGCATAGAATAGCTTCGTTATTTCATAATTACTACAAGTAAAAATATGTGCGGATAAATTAACTAAATTCCTTACGCGTAAAATTATAAATTATTTATAAGTAATTATAATTATAAATTACTACCGCGTAAAATTATAAATAAGAAAGTGATCATCTCGTTAAAAATAATAAGAATATATTGCACGTACTTGTTAAAAAGCACAATGTCCGGCTTCCATACTTTGTCGGGCGGCAATCTGAGCACATTTATGCCACCGTAGTCTGCGTCGTCCCAAGTTAACTGGTAGTCTTTCCACACCTGTTGAGAAATGTACAGACTTATATTAAGTATTTAGTCTGCATCGTCCCACTTCTAAGGGGAGTCATTCCATACCTGAGGAATGTACAGAATTCAATTGTTATGTAGTGCGCTTCATTTCAAGTTAACTGGTACGTAGTCCGCGTCGTCCCAAGTTAACTGGTAGTCTTTCCACACCTGTTGAGAAATGTACATATTTATATTAAATATCAGTCTGTGTCGCCCTACGTCACCTATAGCAGTCTTCCCATACCAGTTGAGGAATGTATAGACTTAAATTAAATGTGTAGACCGCGTCGTCCCAAGTTAACTGGTAATCTTTCCACACCTGTTGAGAAATGTATATAATTATATTAAATATCAATCTGTGTCGCCCTACGTCAACTGGCAGTCTTTCCATACAGGCTTAAATTAAATGTTAAGTCTGCCTCATTCCAAGTTAACTAGTAGTATTTCCACACCTGTAATGGAATGTACAGACTTATATTAAGTATTTAGTCTGCGTCGTCAAACATCAACGGGGAGTCCTTCCACACCTTGTGAGAAATGTACAGACTTAAATTAGATGTGTAGTCTGCCTCATTCCAAGTTAACTGGTAGTATTTACACACCTGTTGAAGAATGTACAGACTTATATTAAGTATTTAGTCTGCGTCGTCAAACATCAACGGGGAGTCCTTCCACACATTTTGAGAAATGTACAGAATTCAATTGTTATGTAGTGCGCTTCATTTCAAGTTAACTGGTGGTCTTTACACACCTGTTGACTCTGCTTCAACCTTCGTTAACTGGTAGCATTACCAAATCTGTGAATGTACAAACTGACATGCAATTGGTTTCACGCGAACCGGGAACAGCTCCATTGCAGAATCTTCATCATGAGTGCGAAATAGTTTACTAGTTACTAGAAATGGTTTGTAATGGCACTGTTGTTTAATTCGCTTTTAGATTGGAAATTAAACGTCGGTCCGTAATTAAAAAATGTATGAACTTAAAAATATTCAAGTCCAAATACATTGCCCGCTATAATTAACATTAAATGCAAAAATCACTTCCAAACCACTTTAAAATTTTGTGTATAAAATCTTCTTCAAAAAGTCCAGTTAAACAATTATTTATTGTTGCATTCATCTTTTCCGCAATATTCTTCCGGATATTATTTTAATCTTCAATATACTGTATGTTAGACAATATTCATAATTAAATAAAACAACCGTTCATTTCATTTCTTATCCAATTTGAATTTCCTCAACACCCTGACACGCCCGCAAATATCAAGGATTGATCGAGGAAATTACATTGCGTCTCGGTCGCTCAATACGACAAAACTCATTTCCCGAACGGGAACGAGGAGGAAATTTCGCATTTTCCTACCAAATAAAAAATTGAAAATGAAATTTTGTGGTGTTAAATCCATACCAGTCCTTCCCACTGCTGCATTAGCGATGTTCCTTCTCATTGAACTTCTTCATTTATGAATGTTGCAATTGACCACTCCTGATAAAATAATTTTTATGTTGCATCTCAAAGACCAAGCTATTATTTTCCACGTATATCAAAAATGCTATTCCTATACTGAATACTCCATTAAAAACTCGACGAACTGGAACACTCGTTTAAATTTTATACAATTTTCGAGAATTTTTTTACAGATCCAAAAGATCTTTCAGAAAAACAGTTGCTGAACGAGTCAGAACTCACAGGTTTACGAATGAAAAACACTTTACAATTCTAAAGTTTATAAGCATCAACTGTATTAGTGGTTTTGTTTTCAAGTTAACGTAAAGATTTTACCAAGGCCTAAAACATTGATTCATCAATATTTGTATAAAAAATTAACTTACAAATTCATGCTTCCATCTTCGACCCGGTAAAGTCTCTCCATCGTTTTTCACTCGAGCGCGATGGAAAAATTCCACCAGCAACTCATGTGACTCATTTTCCGATAAGATTTAAGGGGACCGTCTACCCTAAAATTTTCAATCATGGCGTTTTCCGGTTTTTGTGCTCATCTTAAAGCTTACTTTTTGACGCATCCAACGGTACCAGAATCATCCCTCTACGTCGAAAAATGATTTCGTAACAGCCCCCCGAAGGGAGGGAGTTTTTAGAGCCCTTCACAAAAGCCTATGGGATTAATTAGAAGGCTAGACACACTAAAAAGGAACATCTGACGTAAAGCGGCCAATTATGGCATTAGCCGGGCTTATACTCATCTTAAAGCTTACTTTCTGACGCTTCCATTGGTGGCAGAATCATCTTTCTACCTCCATTTTTACGTTCACCACGCCCCATGGAACGGGGGGCGGTGGGGGGCGGCCTTAACTAATTCCTAAGGCAGTAATTACGGGGCGTGACTTCATATACTGCCAGATGCACCCAGATCTTTCAGTGCCCATCATGACAGCGAGGTGAAAGGTGTGCAGCCACTCGCTCTATGCCTTCCTCACTTAGTTTTAAGGCTTAGTTTCGGTATGTTGGCTACGTTACGACTCTTTTACGTCATTTTACGTGCCGCCCGGTAGTTTTTCGGGCGTGGTGAAAACCTCCGATTGGTCTCACGGCAAACCTATCTCCTCCTACAGTTTTCAAGCTACAGCAATGAGACATATACCATAGCCGTTTTCTATGAATTTCACGCTTTCTATCAATTTTTTCGAAAAATTCATAGGAGCAAAATGTTATTGTTTTTACATTTGACGTATGTATGTGAAGTTTCATGATGATCGGATAATAACTGTAGCAGTTTTTCCGGAGGGTAGACGGTCCCCTTAACAAGTTTTGATCCTGATGTTTCTTGTGTTTCATAAAATCGGGATAAGTGAAGAAGCCCAGACCATAGCATCAATAGTTTTCAATGCCTCTTGAAAGTCTCAGCCGCCATGATGGATGATAACTTTTGAAGTGGGTGACTGAAACTTTGTAGAATTTTTGAACCGTTTTTTGGGCAGAAGTTTTGCGGAAGAATTCTCCGTTGTGTCTCAATTGAATGCGATCAATGAGCTTTATTTATACGATAACAACAGAGCGTTAGATGGGAGGTTTACGTGAAATGATCGAGTGAGAATCGTGACTACTACTGAATTCAAAGTGTTTTGAAGTGAGATGACGTTGTATACAATATTAGACATTTTGCTGGTTCCAGTAATTGACTGTGAGTAACATAATAAATTGAGCATCAGCTAAACATGTGAAATCAATCTACGTGGCATGCAATACGTTAAAACCCTCACATCAGCAACCTTACTATTTGTACCAGTTTGAGATGTGATACAGTGTTGCATCGTATACCTTTACATCCACCCATCAACTACCTTTTTATCGTCTCAGATATGTAACGGCATTTAAGAGCCCATTTGATGGTAGTTTAGAGCAGTGAAGGTATTTCCCCGAAGAACCGCCCTGCGAACGTTGCAAGCTGCCGATCTGGACCAATGGCACAGCAATCCTTCAGATTGTATTGGCAGAGTTTCGTGTTGCAAACTTGTTCAAAGTTTAAACGAGGCATCGGGAATTATTCAGTCGAGCAATGCCCCTTGCGCTTCAGTCCAGGACCATCCACGTACATTAAAGCTGAGTCCCACGGAACGAAATCTGCCCGACTTACCGACATCCGTATTCGAAATGGTAATAAGCCAAGAAGAACGGAGGTTATTGTACCGGAATTATACCAAAACTTGTGAACTAGCTCAAGATTTATTTTAGATGGAACGCTACATTCAGTCAGTTACATCATGCAGTCAAATATAAAATGTACTTCCAATCAAGTAAAAACAACAGTGACTTTGGATAAGTAAGTCAATCGAGTTTTTGAAGCTATAATTCTTACAATTAGAGCAAATATTCAGTATTCAATATGAATCAACAACATGCTTGTTTCTTAGGCACTCGAAACCTACAGTCTGCTCTTGATTTGCTCAAGATTGATCTCTGATCTGCTTGATTTTTTATATCATTTTGGTTTATATTAATTTTTTCAACTCTAAACGCTTTGCTACTTTATTAATTCCACAAGTCAGGTATGAATGACGCACCATGGCTGTGGTCAACTGCAAGTACGGCAATAACTCTGATCAACCCATTTAAATTTGTTCCTACGCGCAAAATTGAAGTACTCGACTGTTAACATCCCTCTATAATGTTAGCGCATACTGACTCTTCAATATTTGATTTGAGATTCTTCAGTTACGCATCGATTAAATTCAATTAAACTCAAATAAAGATGGAAAGAGAATATATTTTGGATTATCATATTCTATGGATACTGAAATTTTAAACTCTTCACATTATGTTGAAGAAAATGTTACTTCACGAAGTCGATTCAAAGCAATATTTTCGGCTCAGCTTAACATTATTAGCTGAGATTTCATCAATTCTAGAGGAAGTGCGAACTGACATGGAATGCATTCCCGTTCCTGTTAGCCGTTATTCCAAAACATCCTTCGACTACATCAAGATGCAGGGACCATACTTTCAAAAAAAGTTAAGAGATCGTAAGTTCATCAGCCAATCATTGACGGCCTTTCAAGCAAAATTCACCAATCGTAGACAAGAAAATAGAGCGTAAGTACTTACGTTCACTTAGCGAACTTTGAAAGTATGGGCCCTGGGATGGAACACTCACAAGCTCGACACGAATCACCATCGAATCGGCTGACATCAGTAATCCCTAATGACGGATAATATGATAATTTGAGAAGGCTGTGTTACTCAATTGCTGGATGAAGTTCGGATGAGTAATGGAAGTGCTGAAGGGTCGCTCAGGCTTCCCGAGAGAGCTGGGCTGCAGCTAAGGCCAGTGTCTCTTTAAAGAAATGCTCGGCGAAGGCAGCGGGCTTGGGCGACTGACGGGCATTAGGGAATGGGACTCTTCTGAAGTAGAGTCCAGGATACATATTCTTAAATGAACTAACACTTTTGTGGAAATGATCGCAATGAAAAGCTTAAGTAAAAAGAAAAAATGTTAGTAATTCGTGAAATGTTTCAAGCTTCAGCGATTTAAAAAAAAATCCAGTCGCAGCCACGAAAAAGTTAGTTCCGGAAGCGGAGCGGCTCAATGGTGAAGGAGTGATGTTCCCTTGAAAACCCCACATTGGATTACAAAGCCTCTTTGTATTCAGCTCGCTAAAACGCGTTCCTGATAGGCTGACCTGTTCCCTGGCCGATGTAAATACGGTATAGGGTGCACTCTGCGGTATAAATACGGTATAGGGTGCACTCTGCGGTATAAATACGGTACGGGGTGCACTCTGCGGTATAAATACGTTGTAGGGTTCGTTGCGTGAAGTGATTACGGTGCACGGTTTGATGTGCAGTGTACCTATGGCGTCCAGTCTTCGTTAAATATAAGGTTTGAAAGTGACGTAAGATTCACTGTACGGTGAAAATCAAAGCTGGGCAACGCTACTTTGAAATGTAGCGGCCGCTGCAGCTACCGCTACATGCTCTAAATGTAGCGGGCGCTACCGCTACCGCTAAAATTGCTTAAATATAACGCCGCTACCGCTACCGCTACTGAAAATGTTGCTGCCGCTACATGTAGCGCGCTACTGCCCACCTCTGGTGAAAATACAGCGTACCTTTCCCTGTGCAGAGTAAATTTGATGTAGGGTTTGAAGTGTGGGGCGAATACGGTCAACGGTTTGTTATGCAGAGCATATACGATCGATGTACAGTGGGATGTGCAGTGCGATTACGGTGTACTATTCGCTTTTTGGGGCAAATACGGTTAACGGTTCACTGTGAGGTGCAAATACGGTGTACGGTATACTGTGTGGTTTAAATACGGTGTCCGTTTCGCTCGGCCTCCTCGCGGCACCCTAGAACATAAATAATGCACATGCCACTCCTTCTATTGCAGAACTAAGCAAGCCTTAACAAATTCCTGCTCAGAGATGCCATGAATCACACGGACCAACTTCTTGGTGAGAAACTGAGCGAGTTCTTGTATTGGATGGAACCTTCTTCACAACCTGCTCGTTATTCTCATATTAATATTAACAACGCTTCCCACGGTGCTAGCCCATTCCGCCTTTGAAAGAAATAATTCGACTGTACGTTAACTCATTGCTATTTTACGTTAAACCAATAGCTGTACGTCTTCTACTTATCGAATTCCGTTTTGAAAATTTGGAAAAATTTTTCTTGAAGAGTGAAAAAGAGTTAGAAAATGTTTAAAGCGGAAGAAATTTATTGAAGGTCATGTAGGAAGCTGGAAACCAATATTAACGTAGACGTGTTTTCATTAGTTAACTGATATAACATCATGTTTAGATCATTTGAGATGACTTCTTGGTCGCAATACTTCATTATTGCACTAATAAACCTATTTAATTTCAACTTGGGAACGTGAAATTTGCATCAACAATTTTTTGCCATTTGAAGGAAATTTTCAAACGATTCACCAAATATATAATATTTATTATATTATATTTCCACGGCCCAGGTATTTTGTATGGTCTGCCCAAAATTTATAAACCAGATTTCAATGTGAAATTTTAATTCCGCACAATTTTTGCTGCTTATAATACCCCTAGTTTAAAACTTGCAAAATTTTTGGTTCCGCTTTTGAACTTTTTTTTTTGAACTATGACCAACCAATATACTGTGGATAACACTTATATGTTCGTAGATCGCCTAAAGAGCTTTACCAATGTTCAGGAATTGACTATGGCCTCTTTTGATATAGAAAATTTATTTACTAAAATACCTATTTCTGAAACCATCGATATTTGTCTCAATTCATTGTTTAAAGATGTCAATGACCTTGTCATGGGGTTTAACCGCAATTTTTTCAAATTTCTCCTTGAATTATCTGTACTAAACTCAATTTTCGTATTTGCTGGCAAGTTTTACAGACAAATTGACGGTTTGGGCATGGGACTTCCACTCGGCCCTACCTTTGCCAATATATTCATGTGTTTTCACGAGGCTACATGGTTGGCCAATTGCCCTCTTGATTTTAAGCCAATTTTCTAAAGCCAATATGTTGACGATACCTTTCTGATTTTTAAGCATCCTTCACATGTGGGCCTTTTCTTTGACTATCTTAATCTCCAACATAAGTATATCAAATTTACCATGGAGCTGGAATCAGACAATACCTTGTCTTTCCTTGATTGCTAAGTTATCAAATCTAATGGCCGTTTCCAAACTTCTGTTTTTAATAAATCGAAATTTACCGGCTTAAGCACCAGCTTTTTTAGATTTTGCTCCTTTCGTTTCAAGTTAAATGGGGTCCAAACATTGATAAACCGCGGCTTTCGCATTTGTTCTAATTTCCTAGCCATGCACTCTGAATTTGAATTGTTACGCAATATCTTTTCACAAAATGGCTTTCCATCACACCTTGTGCTCACCCAAATTAAAAAGTTTATGTTCAAACAATATACTGCAGCCGTTCCCAATGTGACAATAGGAAAGTTGTTTACTGTTCTTTTCCCTACTTTGGACCCGCATCTGAGACTATGTATACTCAGGGCAAGATTTTTACTATTTTATACTATTTTATATTGAATTTACTATTATTATAGTAATAGTAATATATTATACTATTATATTATAGTATATTATACTATTTTATATTGAATTACTATTTTATATTGAAACTCGCGAGCTTCGTTAGCGAAACTGTCAAAATCAGAACTTTAAAGCGAAGTCTGTGACCTGAAAGTGCTTTCAACTCGAAACATTGTTTGAGGGTCTGTTAGTTGCATAATAATGTCTTGTTTTGCATTAAAAAATAATTGCTTATTTAATTTGAAAGAGTTCACCCGTGGGAATACGTAGAAGTGGAAAGCGGCCCTACTTGTGAATAAAACGAAGAAATGTTTCGGCTACAAAAAAAACGAAAAGGCAATAAACTTAGGTATAATTTAACAAAAAATGATTCATCTAGTATTCGGCTTTTCCTAGCTTAGCCTGTCTAACTCAAGTTTTAATTATTTGGAAGATGTATTTTCGAAAAAAAAAATTCAAACCCAATGTGACGCACTTTTTCTCCTGCTTCAGCCGGCAGATAGAACACGAGGACGCACAAGAACGAGATAAGCACCGTAGGCAGGATCAAGTTGACCGTGTAGAAGAGCGTCTTGCGACGTATTGTGATGAAGAACGTTATGTCGGTCTCAGAAGGTCCGTCGTCGTTTGGGTACTGGTTCAGCTTCGCCGGAACCTGGAGGACGGATGGTTATAATAGCGGTTTCAGCGTTATTAGGCCGTAGGCCTGTCGCCGATTCTTAACATCGCAGAACATTCATAACATTTTGCGGTCTCGAACTCGCAACTCACTGCTACAATTCTGATTTTACGAAATAGCGCTGAACTTCTATGGGCCGTAAAGAACGAAATTTGCGTTGCCAGGTGCCGGACTGAACGTTAATTACAAGTGGGAGAAACATCCATCAATCCACGGCCAGAACTTGCGGTTTTTTTATTGAAGTTTTCCCTCAATATCGAGCGGAAATTTATTTTTCAAGATACAAGGCCTTAAGTGCTCTTACAACAATTAACTTATTCTATTCTATACTACGTACGTATATACTCACGTGTAAGATTATTCCATCATGATTCACATTTATAACGATTGTGAGTGAGTTTCGAAGGAACTGTACGTCCAGTTACGGGCTTATTCTACGTATGCTATAAATATAAGCTACATACTCTTAATATAAATATTATTGAGATGTAAATGATATTTCAAGCTAAATTAGAATTTCGAAATTCTAAATTCAGCCTTCGATTTGACCTAAAGGCTAAATTGTTACTCAAAAATTCATGTGCAAAAATTACTTAAATTATTATTGAGTGCTTTATTATTAAGTGCATTATTACGCAGTAATAATGGTATAATTAAAATAAAACTATTTGTACTCACCAGTCTCAACCAAACGTTCGATTTCATGATCTGATTTTTTTCGTTCTGGAAAACAAAAAAAAAATTAAGTGAATATTACATGTATTACATGAAATGAGCAAAATAGTAAATAAGACTAGTTAGCAGATTGGGAAAATGGATTTAGAATCAATTGACGATCCATTTCTCTACTAAACTTGCATTAAATTATTTGGGAAAATATTCAGACCACAACGGAACCTGGCCAACACACACGTATTTATTTTGAGCACAACGTGTGATTCTAGATGATTTTAGTTTTCACAAAAAGTCATGAAATGTTAGGATTATATAGATAATAACTCACAACATTGATGAGCTGGATGAAGGCGAGCCCGAAGGCCACATCCACTCTGTGCGTCATGTTCTCGACGGGGCGGATGAGTTTGTTGTATCCGCGGAACAAATCCCGGACCAGCCTCTCCTCGTCCTCACTGCCGCACACTGCACACGCACAACAACGGGGGATACAAGCGAGGGCTAACTAAGATATTCTGGTAATTTCATGTTCATTGGATCAGCCTCTCCTCGTCCTCACTGCCACACACTGCACATGCACAACAACGGGGGATACAAACGAGGGCTAACTAAGATATTCTGGTAATTTCACGTTCATTGGACCAGCCTCTCCTCGTCCTCACTGCCACACACTGCACACGCACAACAACGGGGGATACAAGCGAGGGCTAACTAAGATATTCTGGTAATTTCATGTTCATTGGACCAGCCTCTCCTCGTCCTCACTGCCGCACACTGCACACACACACAACAACGGGAGATACAAGCGAGGCCTCACTAAAATATTCTGGTAATTTCACGTTCATTGGGACCAGCCTCTCCTCGTCCTCACTGCCGCACACTGCACACACACACAACAACGGGAGATACAAGCGAGGGCTCACTAAGATATTCTGGTAATTTTATGTTCATTGTATTGGTTTGTTGACTATCGGGAGCACAAGCCTTTGTTCTCAACTTTCTTTAGCACACATCAAGCAAGCAAGCAGTGGCTGGGAGATTTCTCTGCCGCAAACTGCCAATCCATTAATTAATTACTTAGCCCGTATGTTGACACTCTCGTCATCAGTTGGCAAACACATTCGCCATTGGCGAATTGGCAAACACATTCGCCATTTTTTCATTGTAAAGATCTCGGAGATCCGCTCCTCCATCAAAGCAAAAGCCTTGCGAATGCTGAATGGAGTATTCGTTTACTGTGACAACCTATCGATCAAATTTTCTATTAATATATGGTGAATTTTATTACCATTTTCTTAGTATTTTACGTTCGAAAGAATTACTTATGATACAGGAAAGTTTGAATGCGAAACGAAATTTGTAAGGACGCAATTTGTACGAGTCGGCAGCATAATTTTTTTCATAAAACCGATCATAGTTTGCTGAGACAAGAACTATTTACGTCAGAAGGAACAATAAAATGTAAGTGATATTAGTGTCGGATTTCCTTCAAGCCTCTATTTATAATGCATGACTTTTCGATGCATAAATTTTTTTCATCTAAAAAAATTTACTGCGGAACTTGACGTCTTAATTTGCCTTGGCAAACATGTCCATTTTTTCATCTTCGTTAAAACGCTATTGCTATCAGGAGTGAATATTGATCGGCTATGGTGAAAAGGTTGTTCATTTTTATTTCTGATTAATATTTAAACTACGTTGATAAAATTCCTCGCCGAATTGCTGAATCGCCATAACAAAGACAAGCCTGCTAAAAAAAGGTGGTATTATTTGAGTTCCAGTCGACTCAATTTATGCTCTATTTTTTACCTATGCAAAATGTATGCGGGAATGACAGTGTTGTTTCCAAGCCATTTGAGATAATCTATAATCTCCTCATGCACATGCAACAACAGGAAGTATGGGAATATGCTTTCAGATTCAGCAAAAATAGTGGCCACAGCCACATTTAGACTTTAGCGCTTCGTGAGACTGCGGTTTGACCAGCGTTTTATTCTATCCAGTTTAGTAGTAAGTAGTAAAGCTTTTAGTAACAGCTTGTATAACATTTTAGTAAACTTGTAGTAAAATAAAGCTTGTAAAACATTCGAACTTTTAATGGTAGGGATGTTGTTCAAATATACGGGCTTAGTCACGTTATTGATAAACCTTTTTATATATTTTTAAATAAACATTGCTCACCATCAGCTAATACTCGAAATTGTGTTTATTGAATATCTTTTCGACATACGTCATATATTTCAGAATTTTGTGAAACGTCGAGGAAATTTGATAAATAAAATATGATTGTTCATTAGTGTACAAACTGTATATTAGTATGTACGAGAAAAAATTAGTGTACAACTGTACATGAGTGTACAACTGTACATGAGTACATACGAGTACACACGAATGTAAAAGAGTGACCGTGAATGTGCACGAGTGTGCATGAGTGCAGACACATACTCAGGTCACCCTTCACACACATGATAAGGTGTGCTCAGTGAGTCACCTAATTCATCAAACGCTACACGAAGGAGTCATATTTACTTTTTACACGTTTGAAAAGAGTTTTTCTATCCACTGTTACGGTATAGTATCAATTTGAACAAATCAGTAATTATCTTCATTATCATACAAATTTTTCATTTTAGCTGTAAGCTTTTCCGCATTTTTAGCGTTTATTAGGCTGTAGGCCTGTCACCAATTTCTTACATCGCAGAACATTCATAGCTTGTTGTGATCTCGAACACGCAACTCGCTGCTCCAATTTTGCTAATTTCGCTTTACCCGTCCGGCCTCCTCACCAATTCTGACCAGAAACTGGCGCACAGAGCTGGGATCGAACCCGCACCTCTCTGCTCAAATCTTGGTACTATGAGCTGTAACCTCTTTGCCACACTGCCCATCCACTGGGCCGCCCTGCCCATCCACTGGGCCACCCTGCCCTTCCACTGGGCCACCCTGCCCTTACATTGAGCCACCCTGCCCTTCCACTGGGCCACATTGCCCTTCCAATGGGCCACCCTGCCCATCCACTGGGCCACCCTGCCCTTCCACTGGGCCACTCTGCCCATCCACTGGGCCACCCTGCCCATCCACTGGGCCACTTTGCCCATCCACTGGGCCACCCTGCCCTTACACTGGGCCTTCTTGCCCATCCACTAAGCCATCCTGCCCATCCACTGGGCCACCCTGCCCTTTTACTGGGCCACCCTACTCTGTAAACAAAACTTCAGGGTTGTTAACTTCCGAGATTTATTCATTCATGTTTAGAGGCCAGCTGGTAAGGACCATTAAAGGGCACAACGCAATTGTACATTTTCGTTCAATGACATATTTGTGTGAAAACCCAGAGTATTTTTCTATAGGAACTGAACCCTGCATGACAATGCTGGTGACAGAGAAACGTGGTCACTCGGCACTACAAAATCTGACGATCAAAGAGCAATCCGCTACTGCGAATTTAGGTCCTACACCGTATTGCATGCTAACAACGCAAAAGAACGTATCGCTCCTTACCGATGACTGTAATTGCAATTTCACTCATTCTCTTGGTAGAATTTGCGCTTAGATCTTAAGTTTCAGTTCAGTTCAGTTCCAATCTTCTTACTACCGATGTTTACGCGGCAGTTAATTTTTTAGCTATAGTCCAGATGCGCTTATGGAGTGAAATATTCCATTAAGTTAACGTCATGCTGTTTTTATTTATAATCAAATTGCTATTATCTTAAACCTTGATGTTATCTCATCTGTTGTATCTTAAATACAAAGACTTGTAACAAATTATAGGATTTATAGCTAAAAGTAGGTGATTTACATTTTAAGAAGGGATCAAAACTTGAGGATGAAATTTCAAAAATAAATTTCGATAATTCCTCCAAAACCTGGAGCTTTGCAATGAAAAGACGTTTTGCCCCCCCCCCCCAAAAAAAATTAGCCCATTAGCCCCCACAAAAATTTGTAAAGTCTAAATTTTGTTACTTGTAACTTGTTGAAAATATTTTATGTGCAAAGTGTGATTTAGAGAAATAGGCATTAACTCAGTGTGAACAGCTATCACAATTGCAAACCAAGTTTATACATTTACAGTATATTTCCACTATAGTCTGAAACATATGCCGACGTAATATAGACGACACATCAGCAGGCCGACGAAAGATTGTCTCTCGGCTGACATCGTATAGACGTCACATCAGCTGGCCGACGAAAGATTGTCTCTCGACTGACATCGTATAGACGTCACATCAGCTGGCCGACAAAAGATTGCATCTCCGTGACATCGTATAGATTGCCTCTAAGTGGTAGCGGAAACTTGCCACCAAGTTTCAAGGCAGCGCATTAGGCAGATGTTTTATCGCCAAAATGTTGGCACCTAAGCCAGACTTGTCAGCTTTCCAATGTGTTATTTTGATATTCTTTCGTACAAATTTCATTTAAAAAATTCGACTCTCTGGAAGAAAGATCATAAATTAAATTTTTATGGATTAGTTGT